ATATATTAAATGTTCATTAAGTTTGGGGGGGGTCAAAATCATAAATTACATGGGAGTTACAAAACTTTGGGGAGGGGTCACGGCCCCCTCAGCTCCCAAGAAGATCCGTCACTGCTTGTAACCTTGAGGTTTAGAACTAAGAGGAGTTCTACCAAACTCATATTTGATTTTTTTTAATAGTCAAACTTTGGATCCATTATTTTTGTACAAAATAAACACATAGGTTTACAAAAAGAACTAACAATGCAAAATAGGTAACCACCTTCAAACAAGGATCTTTGATCCTCAACCAAGGGGATACTTAAGATTCCTCTAGAATTAATGGGTTGAGGTAATCACTTGATGAGTTCGATATTCTTCCTATCCATGGCAGAAAGGAGGTGCTCGACTCGTGATTTGAATTTTAAGCTTATTTTGTGTATAATGGAAAATGTAAGATGTTATTAGGGTGGTAGAACAACCTTTAAGAAAGGTCAAAAGATGAGAACTTAACTTAGAAAAACAATTTTTAAAGTTTTTGAAGGATATAATAACACTACTAGAAAAATGGTTAATAGTGACCGAAATTAGTAATCGAAAAATTCAGTCACTGATAGTAACTGAATTAGTGACTGATTTCCATTTTATATTTAGTGACTGATTTAGTGACTAAAACTTCAGTCACGGAAATCGGTCACTGATTCGGTCACCAAATCAGTCACTGATTCGGTCACTACTAGAAAAATGGTTAATAGTGATCTAAATTAGTGACCGAAAAATTCAGTTACTAATAGTAACTCGAATCAGTGATTGATTTCTCTTTTTATATATAGTGACTGATTTAGTGACTAAAATTTCAGTCACTAAACAAATAATATATAAATTAGTGACCATTTTTTATTTATGTAAATATTTTTTAAAAATATTTTAACAATATATTAAATATAAATCTACTTAATAATTTAAAATAATTGATAAAATTTTTCATAACATTATAAAAATTTTAAAAAATAGTTTATTAACTTATTAAATAATTTAGTAATATAATTATTTGATTTTATTTTTTAATTTAGTATGTGAATAAAAAAATTAAAATTAATTATTAAATTAGTCACCGAATCGGTCATTGATTCGATCATTAAAGTAATTATTAATTTAGTCTCTTTTATATATATAATCAATGATTAAATTAATTATTAATTTAGTCTCTTTATATATATATATATATATATATATATATATATATATATATATTGCTTTTATGTTAATAAAAATGTATTTCAATGTATTTATAAAAAAATTAAAATTATTTTAATTATTGAATTGATATTTCAAATTTATATTAATATTTTAAATAATTTAATAATTGGATAAATATTTTAAATTTATATTAGTATTTTTTTAAAAGTGTAAAGATTAAGTGAACTTATTTTAAAATTTAATTAAACATAATAATATAATATACTATTAACCATAAATATGTGAAGATTTAGTTAGAAATTAATTTTAAGTTTTATCGTTTTTATTTAAAAAAAAATGTTAAAAAAATCAAAATAATTAATTAAAATAAAGAATTTTAATTTAATAAATGTGTTAATATTATTAGTTATTGGAGAATTAAATTTATAATAATAATTATATAAAATTTATAATAATAAGAATTAAATTTCTCTTATTAACAAAATTTTTTTATCAAATTAAGAAAATTATTACTAATAAGATTCAAAACCAAGTACCTTAGAGTTAGATATTAATACTCCAACCACTAAACTATTAGAATTTTTTAATAAAAATTTACAAATAAATTATATTTATATACAAATAAATGTATATCCGTGTAAATATATAAATATAAATATATAAATACAAATATATTTATATATTTTGATATATTTATATATTTATATGTTCGATGTGAGGGTCACGCTAGAAGGTGAAAATGTGTGTCGAGTGAGTTTTCAAAATTTGATGTCAAATTTGTGAGCTGAGTCTCTTTATATGGATTTGTAATTTAATGATAGAATATAATATTTATAATTTATTTATATAATGATATAAAATAATTTTTTTCTTTATTTATTTTTATTTTTATTTTATTTTAATTTAATTTATTCTTTTTATCTTTTTTTCTTCTATTATTTAATTAAAATTCTTATATTAAAATAATTTTTCATTATTAAAAATAATTAAATATTTATTTTCAAAATTATTTTTTAAAATTATTTAATTTAACAAATTATTATGAATTAATCTATGTCTGGAAAAAATAATTATTAAAAGATGATTTTGATTAATTTATAATAATATATGTTAGGAAAAAATTGTTCTATTAATAATCATAATTAGATTAATTTATAATAATTTGTTAAATTAAATAATTTTAAAAATAAATATTTAATTATTTTTAATATTGAAAAAATTATTTTAATATAAGAATTTTAATTAAATAATAGAAGAAAAAAATATAAGAAGAATAAATTAAAATAAAATAAAAAAAATAAAGAAAAAAATTATTTTATATCATTATATAAATAAATTATAAAGATTATATTGTGTCATTAAATTATAAACTCATATAAAGAGACTCGCTCACAAATTTGACATCAAATTTTAAAAATGCACTCGACACACACTTTCACCTTCGAGCAGCCCTCACATCCAACATATATATATATATATATATATATATATATATATGTATATATATATATATATATACATACATATATATATATACATATATATATATATATTTTATTTGTATTTATATATTTTATATTTATATATTTACACGAATATATATTTTTATTTGTATATAAATATAATTTATTTATAAATTATTATAAAAAAATCCTAGTAGTTTAATGGTTGGAGTATCAATCTCTAATTCTAAGATACTTGGGTTCAAATCTTATCATCTGAACAGAGAAAATACCATTATATTGAGCTCTTATTCAAGGAGATCCACTAGAAATACATGAACTTGTTTATATGAGGCTTTATACAAAGTAAAGTGAAAAAGAATTTGAAATGTCCTTGTAGAGGACCAACTTCAAAGGAGTTATGTTATGGTCATGTTTAGTTTGGATAAAATGTTGTATTCAAAATAAATAAAAGGCAAAGAAATATCTAGTTCCTTGAATGATCATTTTTAAACGAATATAAACTTCTCTTTTAGGTTTGAAGGTATCAAGTAAATCATATATGAAAGGGAGCATTATTCCACTATCATAACATCACAATTTTCTTTGTCACACATACTAATATATTGACAGAAACTCATAATAGAACCGAGTGTCAACAACTCAAAGGCATAGGCAGACACAATCCTAAATACTCACTTGTATTTAATAGAAGAAATACGAGAATGTTTATCCTACTATTTCCCTTATTAGACATGGAGAATTTAATAAATAAAGAATGAGATGAATGTGATTTCCTTTTATTTTTATAAAGAAAATAAATTTAGCTACTGAAAATAAGAGGGAAGTAAATTCTACAATATCCATAGGAAATAATTCATAAAAACATTTTGAATAGAAAAAAAATAACATAATTTTCTTTTTCCTCTAAACTATTATCACCTATCTTTGACATCTCATATGTTAACAAAGAATGTTTATAAGTACTCGTATTATTAGAAGAACCAAATATAAAAAAGAAGAAATGAAGAACGTACTTATTGACAATAAGGTCGAGAAGATAAAGTGCAATTGATAATATCGTACACAACAAGCAAGACTGACGTAGATTTACGAACCAATTAATAGCACAATAGATGTAAGAGCGGCACAAATTTAAGGAACGAAATGTTTTTATTAAACAAAAACAAGAAGAAGCAAATAGGTTTAAGAAATGAATTGTCTCTAAAATAACATCGTGCCTTTTTTTATGGGAAAAAGCATTTTAAAAATTTTAATTCAAAACTTATAGATGACTTATAAATCGGCTCAAAAAACTATGCCTTTAGTTTATTAAGTTTGAAGCATAAACTCATTCAACCTCTTACATCGATTTCCGAGATGGAGGCTTATGTATATACTGAAAGGACTAGTTTTTATTATAATAAGTCATTTAAGATTTTTCTAACATAAATAAATTATTATTATCTTTTTAAATTAGTTAAAGAATTATCTGATAAAATTATTTATCTATTATCAACACAAAGAGAAATTTAAAAGGATATCTAGTAGTATGAAAATATCACTTGCTTTTTCATTAATTAACATATTTCTAATTTCTTTAATGTTTTTCAAATATTAAAGAATAACGTACTCGATCACCTAATCTTAAAATATTACGAGAGACTCACCAACCTCACAATAAAGATATTTAGTAAAAATTCTAATATATTATAAATAATTAAATTAATAAATAAATAAATATTTATATAATTAAAAATAAAAAATATACATAAATTTCTCACTAAAATAAAGTATGAATAAAAAGATATACAAACTTCTCACTAAATATACACCTATATATCTCATAAAATATATATATAATTGTAAGAAGTATAATTCTAAAAAAAAATTGTTTTGTGACTTGATAGTTAATAATAATTATCTCTTAACAATATTGTTTTGAGTGTACGAAATTTTCTTTTGAACTAATTATATTAATAAAATATTAATAATATTATTATATTAATTTATTTGATTATATATTAAATATTTGGAGTGTCAATTAATCATTCCTCTTAAATATAATATTGAAGTGAGTCTGATACACTGATAACCGCATAAAAACATTTATAAGACAATTCGGTATATTAATATAATAATTATAAAAGAATTTGATAAAAATAAAAATAATTTAAAACTATTATTATAATATTAAAAAATATCTCCGAGAAAATATTAATATAATAATTTTAAAAATTTTAATAAAAAAATTTAAATAATTATTATAATATTAAAATTCATTGTAGATAAGACGTTTGAGAGAATGTGGCTATAAAATAATTTTTTAGTCAACGGGGCCCCGACGCATGGAAATCTTTGTTTTTAGTAGAGAAGAAAATGAAGTCAGGGACAGGTTTTGCAGGTTAGCATCACGTACACGCTATAAATCCAGAGAAAAGCCACAACTTGCTCATAACTGGTTAATCTTCACTACATCATATTCTCCCTTTTCTTCTTCTTTTTCATTTTAAATATGGTTCAGTCAACATGGTTCTTTTCACTTTTGGTACTAACGCTTCACTTATCAGGTAAGTATCTTCACCGTGTCATAAATTTTTAATTAATTTTCTTCACTTAATTTCAGACTTCCACACAAATTGTTTGGTGTTCGATCTAAATTTGTCTAAAAATTAGGTTTAATTCCAATTTAACGTCTGTCGAATCTTTAAATGGGACAACATTACTTAATCTACAGGGATCAATTCCGCCAAATTGACTTTCATCAACCAATGCAACTACACGGTGTGGCCAGCATTATTAAGCCGTAATGTCAATCTTTCAACTACCGGGTTTGTTTTGCCAAGGGGCGAAAATTCAACTGTCAACGTACCGCTCAATTGGCAGGCGGGTCGAATCTGGGGTCGCACACTCTGCACTACCGACTCAGTTACCGGAAATTTCTCTTGTGTTACCGGCAACTGCAACTCTGGCAAGATAGAATGTAACGGACAAGGAAGCTCACCACCGGTCACGCTGGTGGAGTTCGGCTTAGGCATCAACGAGCTTGACTTTTATGACGTGAGTTTGGTGGACGGGTTCAACGTGCCGGTGATTGTTGTTCCCATCAGCGGTTCTGGCGTCAACTGCGAGAGCACAGGGTGCGTGGTGGATTTGAACGCAGTGTGTCCGACGGAGCTGAAGGTGACGAGAAATGAGCAAGTGGTGGCATGTCAGAACCCTTGCGCTGCGTTCCAACAAGCCTATTTTTGTTGCGTTGGAAGCCCTTCCTCTTGCGAACCAAGTGTGTATTCCAAAATATTCAAGACGGCATGCCCGCAAGCCTACAGCTATGGATATGACGACAAAACCAGCACGTTCACCTGTTCGACTCCCGCAAACTACAATATTGTCTTCTGTCCTACATCTACCAATGCCAGGTTAGTTTTTTTTTTTTTTTTAATTTACTTATTTTGGTAAATTTTAAAAAAATTACAGATTATGATCAACTTTTTAAAAATCATCAACTTAGTATTGGTAGATGCTGCTGTTTTTTTCTTTATCGAAAAAAACAAAATATTTATTTTAGTTCATAAAAGTAAAGAAATTATGCAATTATATTGTATTATTATGTTTTACGAAACTATTTTACTATTAAAATAGTTTTAAAAATTACTTTTTTACGGTAAATCAGAATCAATTTTATTATAAAATTATGATATTAAAGATTAAAATCCGGTTCTATTGTGGAAATCTGATAAACCTTTTCACAAGACTTGTGATAAATAGAAGTAGAATTCAACGACTCCAATATTCGAATTTTAATTTAAAAGAAAAAAAATGAGTTGAGCAAATAAGCTAGAATTCTTTTTTCTTTTATTAGATTTTTTTCTTTAAAATGGATTTATTTTAGAAATTATTCCCAATTCCATCTTTTTATTAATAAAAAAATCAATTTAATCCCCTCATTTTTCAAAATCAGTTCAGCAGTATCCTCTCCTAATTGTATATAATGTTAGTTATTACAAAGTGAACCAAGTAATTCATGTCCAATTTTATTAACAACATTAGTGTTAATTTAGACCAAAGAAGTAACTTTAACACAATTTTAAAAGGAATCAAATTGAACTTTTTACAAGTAAAAGAGTTAAGTTGAATCAATCAAAGAAACCAAAATATATTATAGTAAAAAAACTTGACACTCGCACATGACAATGGTAGTTTTATGTGAGTATTTAACATTAAAGTTAATTCAATTGGTAAATATAAGATAATATTTTGTAAAAATGTTTAGTAGTAAAGCTTGTTATCACTCTATCCTAACTTTCCAAAACTTTATTCAACCAAAGAGAAAACTATAATCTTATTAATATTTTTAATTTGATTTGTTTTACAAATGTGTTTGTACAATAGGTAACTAACATTGATTTGCACTTTGTTTTTTTTTTTATTTCTCAAAGATCCCTACTAATTTTTAAAGTTTGTAATAAAATGTAGTCGAAGGGTTGGTGACTCACTCATTGCTGGTAACGAGACATCTAAGTGGCTTTCCCCTTCAGGTGAATTTGCATTTGGTTTCTACCAACTTCCTAATGAGCTTTTCTTATTGGCTATATGCTACAACCAGATACCAAATAGGACCATCATTTGGTATGCAAATGGAGACAACCTTGCTCCTGTAGGATCAAAGTTAGAACTAAATGATTCTCGTGGACTCGTACTCAAAACCCCTCAAGGTTTAGAGTTATGGAGATCAAGTTTTTCTTAAGGTACAGTTTTTAATGGTCTAATGAACGATGATGGAAATTTCCAACTATTAGATCAAAATTTTGTGTCATTATGGGAGACTTTCACTCATCCAAGTGACACATTGGTACCTACTCAAGTAATGGAATTAGGTGGACAACTCTCTTGTCGACAAGGAGAGTTGAACTTCTCAAGTGGAAGGTTCAAACTTCATCTACAAGAGGATGGGAATCTTGTGTTTAAGCTTATAAATTTGCTTAACAACTATAGTGTCGAGCCTTACTTTGATAGTGGCACTGCTGATGCAAAGAACCAAACAAATGTTGGCATGAAATTTGTTTTTGATAAATCAGGCTTCTTGTACATATTGAAGAAAAATGGGGAAAAGTTTCAAGTCAGTAAATTGAACAACTCGATCTCTTCTAATGATGTATACTACAAAGCAACAATCAATTATGATGGAGTTTTGACTGTATCGCATTACCCCAAAGATCCAAAAAAAGAACAAAGTGGGTCACTTTACAGACAATACCAGAAAATATTTGTCTAGATTCTACTTTCACAAGTGGTGGAGTTTGTGGATTTAATAGTATATGCAACCTAAAAGATGAGCAGAGCCCGATGTGTAACTGTCCAGAGAGATATTCTCTAATTGATTCAAATAACATGTATGGTGGTTGCATACCAAATTTTCAAGTCATTTGTCAAGGAGGTGGTCACATGGGTTCACAAGATGATTACATAATGAAAGAGTTGCAAAATACTGATTGGCCAAAATCTGAATATGAAACAACAAGTCCTATTACTCTAGAAGAATGTACAAAATCTTGTTTGCAAGATTGCTTATGTGTGTTGGTTACTTTCAGTGGAAATTCTTGTTGGAAGAAGAAGCTACCGCTCACAAATGGGAGAAGAGATAAAGGAGTAAATGGAACTTCTATTATAAAACTGATGAAAAATAATGAATTCTTGATCTCTTTCCCAAACCAAAAGGATCATGAGACCTTGGTCATTATTATATCAGTTCTTTTAGGCTTCTCTGTGTTGGTCATTTTAATGTTGGTTGGTGCAATATATTTTGGTTTCTCCTACAACCGTAAGAAGATCAAAAGTAGTAGAACCAAAAATCATGTTGTTGATAATATCTTGCGTAACTTCACCTTCGAGGAACTTGTAGAAGCAACAAGAAACTTTAGTGATGAATTGGGAAGGGGATCTTTTAGCATTGTCTACAAAGGAACAACAAAGATGACTAGTGTGGCTGTTAAGAAATTAGACAAGTTGTTTCAAGACAATGACAAGGAATTTCAGACAGAAGTGAATGTAATAGGTCAAACTCATCATAGGAATTTAGTTCGTCTACTTGGATATTGTAATGAAGGACAACACCGAATTTTGGTATATGAGTTTATGAGCAATGGCACTTTAGCTAGCTTCCTTTTCACCCCTTTGAAATCAAATTGGAGACAACGAGTTGACATTGCTAATGGGATTGCGAGAGGTCTTGTTTACTTGCATGAGGAATGTTGCACCCAAATCATCCACTGTGACATAAAGCCACAAAATATCCTTCTAGATGATCTATGTAATGCCAGAATTTCTGATTTCGGATTAGCAAAGCTGTTACTGATCAACCAAAGCCACACTGAAACTGGAATTAGGGGAACGAAGGGGTATGTTGCACCAGATTGGTTTAGAAGTTCACCAATCACTACTAAGGTTGACACTTATAGTTTTGGTGTGGTGCTATTAGAGATAATTTGTTGTAGGAGGAATGTAGAAAAGGAACTTGTTGATGAAGAAAAAGGGATATTGACGGATTGGGCATATGATTGCTACAAGACTAGAAGATTAGACATTCTTCTAGAAAATGATGATGAAGCTATTAATAACATTAAGACTTTTGAAAAATTTGTAATGATAGCTATTTGGTGCATTCATGAAGATCCCTCTCTTAGGCCAACAATGAAGAAGGTTTTGCTAATGCTGGAAGGAATAGTTGAAGTTTCAATACCCCCAAATCCCTACCTTTATGGTTCTACTGGTTAAAATTAAAAGTAGTTTCTTTTGGATGTTGTTTTGACGTCCCCTTTTTGTTTTGTTTTCTGTTGGATACTTGTGCTTTTAGTTGTTCATCAAATTCATTTATCATGCGTCATAGAAATTAAGTGCATTCGTTACAAGAATTATGCTATTTAGCATACAAAATCTACAAGTTTAGCACTGGTTATATTTTAAATTTAAAAACAAATAAAAATAAAGTCCTATTGGACCAACATCACATAAATTAGTTTATATTTACATTCAATTATTTTTGTTTCACGGTTAAGCCTTATTACTCCATTAACAATTAGAAGTTGATTATGGGTTGAAAGATCGTATGCTAAAAAAGATACAAGAAGGTAAAGAGTATTTAAATTGATTATACTTTTTTTCTTTCTTTATAACATGCTAATTTAGGTGGAATATTATGAATAAAAGAGAATTTAAAAAAGAAAAAAACTATACTTTTCTTTCGCATATTAACAGTAATCATGATTATAATAAAAAATATATACATGATGACAAGATAAATGATATGTATATTTTAATGCATTCAAAGAATCACATAAAATGACAATTAAAAAAAATATATTCATTTATCAAAATCAGTCAAATTACACATTTAAATAGGTATATATGTACGTGTTTACCAGATATAAAGTAAAAAATAAAAAATAATTATTGTACTTTTTCAAAATATCACTTTTTTTTCAATAAAACAATGACAAAGTGTTGAAGTGTATTGAGAAATCATGAAAGGTTTATTCAGGTAAACTTCTTTATAAATATTTAAAAATATGATAAATATATTTTAATATAACAATTGTTATAAATATTTATATTTAATATAATTAAAGTATTTTATCTAATCTTTATACATTCATTAGTTATTTTTGTGAGAAACACATGTTTTATATCGATTATTTTAATATTTTGTATTAATTTTTCAATGAACATAGAAAATCTATATCCGATTATATTAGAATTGATATAAAAAGTTGTCTCAATAGCAAAATATGATTTAAGGATACACTTCACACTATTTATAATGTCCAAATCATAATTGATAATTGATGTAGTTTTAGGACTACTTTTAACAAATTTAATTATAAATTTTATTCTATAACCTATAAATACACATAATGAGATAATTAAACAAGTATATATTTTTTAAAATAAGAAAATTATCAATTTTATCCATAACTAATATTTACTATCAAATCAATTCATTCATTTAAAATTAACAAATATACTAATTCACAACTATACTATTTCATAATTATTTATAATTTGAAAGAAAAAATAAAAAATTATACACTCGCTCTCTAATTTCTTTAATGATGGTCACATCCAATTTGAAAAATCTATAACAAATATATAATTAGTTTTATATTTGAAATCAACAAAAAATATATATAAATAATTAAAAAATATATTATTACTTGATATCAAGAATATATAAAAGGGACACAAGTTACAATACACATCTCATGCATGATGTAGCATAGCCACACTCATAGCTTCCTCATTTCTTATTACACTAATATATCAATTTTAACAAAATCATTTTTTCATAAACTAGGATAATAAATAGTTTTAATATAAAAATAAATACTTTCTTAGTGCTATTTTATGCGCCTATTCTATCATTTGCTCATTAATGACTTGCAAATTATTTATTGGTTCATTAATCATATGCTCATCTTGTGAATTTTGTATATCATTTTATGGTCTCTTGTTGTTATATTTGACTGTAATACAACCAAGCATGAGTTTCTACAATATTTACCTTTCATGATTTCTCATTCCCACTAAATTAGCCATTTTTAGTGAACCGAACATTACCATACTCAACTATTATTATACAATGGTTCAGATAATAGAATTTTTATCCTTTAAACCTTTTTTGGATAGTCACTAAAAAAAGCACTAATAGTTCTTGCATCAAACTTCTTTTAATGTGGATTATACAATTTTACTTTTGTTAGACAACCCTAAACATAAAAATATCTTAAAGTGAGTTTCCTTCTTATCCACAATTCATAAGGAGTCTCAGGAACTAGCTTACTAGGACCCTATTAAGCAAATACACTACGGTCTTTAATGTGTGCATCCACAAAGATAAAAACTCATTGTAATTTAGTGTTAACCTACCCATATTCATTAAAGTACGATTCTGCCTTTCAGTAACATCATTTTATTAAGATGTGTCAGACATAGTGTATTGTGCACATATGACTCTACTTTGCAAATGGACCTGAACATTATCCACTTTCATTAAATTTCTCGTAAAATTCACCACCTTTATAAGATCTTACAATCTTCACTCATCTATCTAACTACCTTTCTACCTCATCAATTAAGATATCCACTTATTGATATTTTTCATGCAAAAGATATAAATAACAATAACGTGAAAAAGCATTATTAAAGGTAATAAAATATTTTTCACCACTCTAAGATGAAACATTAAAAAGTCCACAAATATTAGTATGTATTAATTCTAAAAGTTTATTACTTCTTAGTAGAATTCTTAGATATTTGTGAGGTTTGCTTTCCTTTAATGCAATCAAAACATATATCCTAGACATCAAAATCCAATTTAGGTAAAATTTCATTTTTTTTTATTAATCTCATTATCCTTTTTTTGGATATATAACCTAATCTTTGATACCACAAATAAGCAGAATTATCATCATGCACATTATGCTTACTACTAATAACATATTCAACATTAAACTATGATTCCATAAACTTTACATCAAGATTGAACCAATGTAAACCATCTATTAAAGTATCATATCCATAATAGTACATATCTTTAAATAAAGAAAAAACATGGTGTCCAATCTTAAAATTAAATCTTAATTTATCCAACTTTGCAATAGAAACTAAATTTCTAGCACATCCAAGTACATAACGACATTCCTCTAAATCTATATGACATCCAGTATCCAAGATTAATTTACATTCCCAATGCCCTCTATCTTTGCTTTCATCATGTTACCCATAAAGATAAACTTTTCACTTCCTCTTATGGTTTGGATCGAAAGAAATCCCTACCAAATATGTGAAACATGAGTAGTTGCTCCAAAATCAAGCCATCAGGTGTTATTATTAGGTACTTCAACAAGATTTGATTCAAAAATTACACACACACACACACACACACATATATATATATATATATATATATATATATATATATATATATAAAATATTCAAACAATTTCTTCCTTTTAAGGCAATCCTTCTTGAAGTAATAATTCGATTGTAAAAATAACACTTCTTATACTTAATTCAAGTAGAAAGTGAGTTTAAAATGAATTGTACTAAAAATGACTCTCTCACTTTCATTCCCATGACTTCAACCTTGCTGTCAGATTAGACATTGTAGTCACATGATCATGAATTGATTAAGACCAATCAAACTTTTTATTTGTAAGCTCACTTGTTAGGTTTTCGTCATCGACTTGTTAGTAATGTCAAATTGTGAGAAATATTTAACCAATTTCATGAAGTTCTTAAGCATAAATGGGTTAACATTTTCAAACATAGATAATTTCATCCAGTTCAATGTCAATATATTAGATTACTCTTAAGCATCATTAAGAAAACTATTTGCTTTTAGCTTTTGTATGGGTCTAAGTAAGGAATGAAGGTCTTTCATCTGTTACCAATGCAAGGTCTAAATACATAACACCCAGTTGAAACTAGACCATTTCAGACCAATCAACATAATTCAAACCATTGAATCACTACTATTCTCAGCATGAGCTGCATATTAGAATCATAACCAAAGTGTTTAAATAACTTATAGGGTAGATATAACGACTGTGTCACGTGTACAATAGAGATACGGGTCATTTCATCAGTATTGTAGTTATACGACCAAAAACTAGTAACAATGTACAAATACAATTAAAATAAATTAGTTAAGATGTAGTCAAAATCTATAAAGAGAATTATTTAAAATATTATAAATAGATAAGAATACTAGAACATGAATGCATTTCATTTCTATCTATTTTTTTATATTAGTATTATTTAATTAACTTGAGTATCATATAATGTTTTACTAGTATATGAACTAGATAAGTGGTACTTTGTAAAAGTGCCTAAAAGTACCCATAAATTAGATTAGAGTGTGTACTCGTTCGGATTCTATATTATTATTATAATAATAATATTTTCTCAAATTGATACCTCTTAAATAGAATTAATATAATAATACATAAAAGAATGTTTAATAACATATTAATGACAAATTATTAACATTATGTATCTTTTATTACCTAAAATAGCTCTGGTAAGAAGTTTATAAATTATATCATCTAAAAACTCATTAATATACATATTATTCTCATTAATGATTTAAACATCAGAGTGCCTTTATAGGTGGACCTCCCATTCTTTTCAATAGGCAGTAGTACTCATCTAGTGTTCGGTTAAATACTTGTTTGTGATTAGGTCAATGTGTATGAGCTATTTTATCTTCTTTTTTCATTTTATCTATATTTACTTCTTTGATAAGAATATTTGGCTCCCACTATAGGGTCTGGTAAAATATATACCAGCCCACAACTAGACCAGAGTGTAGAAGATATCATCAACATGAGTGTTGAACACATTACTAACAATCTGAAAGCTCATCTAGATGAGATGCAACAGAAAAATAATGAAAAATTTAATATGATGGAACAGAGACATAAAGAAGAAATAAAAATTAAATTCTCCTTCTGACCCAATCTCCCCGAAGACATCAATTTTCTCGGTACCAATCCCAGTCATGATATCAATCATCCCTACCTGAAGGAGAAACACACTGAAGGCAAATCAAGTCATCGAGATAAAAAAAAAAGTTATTCCAAAGCCGAATGGAGAACAAAGCACGGTCAAAAGTGAACAAGTTCACAAGAAGATAGAAACACACATTCTAAGACCATCAAAATTAAAGTTAGGGAACTATTTATCCTAGAAATAAGCAAAAGCTCTACTAATTGTATGGAAAGCTCCCACCATGGAGGTATTTGAAGGAGAAACAAATTTGTATGAACACAATTGTTCTTACTTAACTTAAATCATTATTTTTGGGAAAAACAATGTTTTTCTTTGCAAAGTTTTTCCCATGACTTTGAAGGGACCAACCATTAAGTGATTTTAAGACCTTCCCATTGGCTTAATAAAATCATTTGAAGTATTAACCCAAAAGTTTCGAGGTAGCTTTACTAATGCAAGACCACAGAGATCAACTTTTTTAACTTACAACGGTTAAGCTAAGAAAAAGGTGAGTAATTACGAAAATTCATGGAAAGATTCAATGAAGTCACAATTGGTAATCTATCCTTAGATTTAATCATTCATGCCTTATAAATGGGTTAAGGCTAGACTCATTCTTGGACAACATATACATAGACTACTCAAAATTTGTGGAAGAGTTGAGAACTTAGACTTCTCGATTTATACAGCTAGAAGAAGGTATTGAAACAAGGAAAAAAAAAGAGACTTTCAAGAAAAAGAAGATTCATCTCATAGATATAGCTTAGATAAGAGATATAAGAAAGAAGACAAAAGAGAGGAAAAAAGAATTACTTCTTCTTAATGCTAGTATCGAGACAATCTTACAATAAATATGTAATTTAGAGCTCGTCAAATTACCTGAGCCCTCGAACACACCTCCAGATGCACATAAATCAAAGCAATGTGTGTGACACTAAAATTATGGTCATACCACAAAAATTTGCAAGAAAGTATGAGATATTATAGAATATCTTGTTCAAGCTAGAGCCATAGATAAATTCATTCAATATTACAAATATGACAAAGGATATAGATCGGATAGTTATAGAGGGTATCAAGGGCAAGGACGAGGGTGATATGACAGATGAGGACAAGGACAAGACTATCCTCAGCGTGATAAATAACCCGACATAGGTCATTCACATAATGACCCAAATGATGGACAGGTCAAAAGTATTATCAACACCATTATTGGAGGTTTTGCAGGTGGTGGAAGCACAAGCTCAATCATGAAGCATCACTTGAGAGCGACACATAATGTTAATATAACTTGGGCGTTAATACCAAGAACATTGCCCCTTATCATCACTTTATCTGATGAAGATTTTATATTTTATGACCCTTAATAAGATGATTCTATGGTAATCACTGTTTATATTGCAAATTGGGAAGTGAAGAAAACATTGATCAACCAAGGTAGCTCGACAAACATATTATATTGGTCTACCTTTATAAAAATGAATGTCTCACATGACCTAATTCAACATTATCTTAATCCATTGATAGGCTTTACTGACCAACTTTGGAAAAATAGGATAGGGTAAGACTTTGATGGTAAGATATATATTAATAGATGTTGACACTTCCTATTATGTGCTAATAGGACGGTGAGCCCTAAATCAACTCGAAACTATTGCATCCACCTCACATATGATTATGATGTTTCCAATTGAAGGAGGACAAATAGCAATAATTAAGACAGATCCAAAAGAAGTTAGAGAATATTATACTCTTAGTCTTAAAGCTTGATCTTTTTCTCTAAAAAAAGTTTTAGAAGAATCCACCCAAATAGACTTGATTTTGCACATTTAAAATGATGTTGAAGAGATAGATGTTGATCCTTGACAAGAGAGAAGAACTGACCATCCAACCTTTGATGAACTAATAATCGAGTTCCAGCTTGGAAGAAAATTTAGACAAATAACTTGAATAGGAGAGGCAATTGAAGTCGATCTTCGAACCCAAATAGAGAGTATACTTTAATAAAAATGTTAACTTGTTTGCATGGAGTGTAACCAACATGTTAGGTATTGATCCATATTTTATGTATCATAAACTTGTCATTTCACCTGATGCACAACCTATAACTCAAAGAAAATGAAAATTAAGAGAAGAAAAGTGTAATGCTGTAAAATAAGAAGTTGAAAAATTGTTAAAAGCAAATTTTATTAGAGAAGTAACATATACAACTTGGTTAGCTAATATGGTATTAGTAAAAAAATCTAATGGGAAATATCGCATGTGTGTTCATTATATTGATTTGTCTTAAGGATTCTTATTTATTATCAAATATAGACCAATTAGTTGATAGCACCTCGGGTTATGAAGTTTTTAGTTTTTTAGATGCCTACTCAAGCTATAATCAAATACTAATGTATCTATCAGACGAGGAAAAAACAAATTTTATCACAGAAGGAGCTAATTTTTATTATAAAGTTATACCTTTTGGATTAAAGAATCCTTGTGCAACTTATTAAAGATTAGTGGATGAAATATTCAAAAATCTTATAAGAGATATAATGGAGGTTTATATAACTTATATGATTGTAAATCTAAAAAATCCACTTACCATCCACAACATTTACAAAGAATTTTATTGAGATATAAAAACATAATATGAGATTAAATTCAGAAAAATGTGTATTCAGAGTAGTCGGAGGGAAGTTCCTAGGTTTCATGATAACCCAAAGAGGAATATAAGCAAATCATGATAAAAGTGAAACCATTTTAAATATTCAAAATCCCATGAATGTTAAAGAAGTGCTACGCCTAAATGGTAAATTAGCTTCATTAGCTTAATTTATTCCTAAACTAGCTAAGAAAACAAAATCATTTTTCAAATGGTCAAAAACAACTCAAAATTCAAATGAAATGAATAATGTAACAATATGTTTCAAAAAATTAAACTCAATATAACTTCTTTACTAATTAGCCTAAGAGCTAGTCTTTTGATATTTAACAAGCACAAGATTTAGAAGAGGAAGACGTACTGGAGACATATGTACCTAACAACTTAAATGCTCAAGAAAACTCAAATAATATGAAATCAAATGACTTGAAGAGAAAGAAGACACAAAACACAAATGATATAATGAAAGTGAAAAGAAGATGGTTCAAAGACTTTCTACCTAATTTTAAACACTATTTTTGATAAAAAACCCTTTAACAACGTAATATCATACAAAATATTCTTTATTAATGACCTGTTAGAAACTGAGAAGCTTCATAAAATAACTCATATATTTTCATTATAATTAAACTTTAAATTAAGAAATTTTGTACCCATCCAGATTTTATATTATTATTATAACAAAAATATTCTCTTCAATTAATACCTCTTAAATAAATATTAATATAATAACACATAAAACATGCTTTAATAACACATTAAAAACAAATTATTAATATTAAACAAACATTCTTTATTATTTAAAATAGCTATGAAAAGAAATTTATAAATTATATCATCTTATACATGTTATCAACTAAAAAATCAATGATGTATATAATATTCTCATTACTATTGAAATATCTTCGTCAACCTGACATTCTTTTTAACATGTAGCATTGCTCATTACTTGATCAAATACTCGTTCGTGATAAAAACCTCTTTTTTTTTTTTTTTTTTTTTTTTTTCAAACAATACGTTATTCTTCATTAGCTTTTATAGATAATAGAATACCATATAAATGAAAATAAGAATAAAAAAAAAACCGAACACGTGGTAGAAAAATAATGGAATAACCGCGAACTTCATCCATCCACGAGCAGGTCGAGAACATGGAGTAGAGGAACAATAGTGATAGAAATGTGAAATGTGTGCATGAGTAGGATGTAAGGGTAAAATAAAACTTAAAATAAATAAAAAATTGTTTAATTTAATTAATTTTTTTAGTTTTTAAAAATAAGTTAAAAAAGTATTCATAATATTTTTTAAAAACTCTTGAAAAAAATATACATGACCAAAAGTTTAAAAAACAATTTTGATTATTTTATAATGAAAAAAATAATAATGTAATATATTGATGATATTCATTAATACAAAAGCAAAATAAAAGATAAAAAATATCTTTTATCATATTTTAATTTTTAATTTAAAAATAATTAAAAACTATATTAATGTATTAAACAAATTTTTTAATTTTTAAAAATTAAAAAACTAAAACTATGTTTGACAATTATAAACAAATAAATTTTTATTTTTTTAAATCAAGAAAAATACTATTTTAAAAGTAAGTGACAAACTAACTCAACCAAATTTTATTTGAACATATCTTCATTTAAAACCAAAGTTAGGAACTCAACCACTCCAACCAAGCCTAATGTACTCGATTGTTTTGAAAAAAATCGAAGAAATAACAATTTATATTAAATTAGTTGAAAAAGTCACTAAAAATTTTCACAAAATTATAAATGTAAGAATAATTAATTCTTTAAAGGTCAATTTAATTGTAAATTATTTTCTTAGAACTAAATCAATAAACATTCAACATTAGAAATTAAAATTTTTTAAAAATTGTCTTACATTTATAATTTCAAAAAGACTATTCAATGATTTTGCTTTTTATAATGACTAGCTGCTATTGTAACTGCTGCTATTGTAACTGGTGTAATACATATACTAAATGTTTATTTATATATTAAATTGATAATAAATAAATATATAAATTATATTCAGTAAGGTTATTCTTGGACAAATAATTTTAAGTGGAGGAGTAATGGTTTTGAAGGGTGAGCGAACTGTGGAGTATTTGGCAAAAGAAAATGAAATCTTAGTTCGAAATTTTGAGCGCAGTTAAGCAAAACCCCAGAAACCTAACGACATAAATCGAAAACCCCTATTTTTTGAAAACTGGAAGACGTACCTCACACTCCAATCGGACAAAGCAGAGAGACAGAGAGAGCGCAACAATGTCGGGTTCCTCCTTAGGATCATCTTCTTCGTCGTCTTCTTCTTCTTCAACTCAATCTTCTTCTTCCTTTTTCTTCACAAACCCTTCTTCTTCCTCGTCCTCCTACCCATTTTCATTTGGCTCATCCCCCGCTCTCTCTTTCGGATCCTCCTCTCTCTTCACCACCACCACAAACCCTACCTCCGCCCCTTCTTCTTCACCATCCCCTCTATCTTTAAGCTTCGGTTCCTCTTCTTCTTCCTTGGCTTCTGGCACAGCTTCTTCAATTTTCGGTGCCGCTAGCTCTGCCTCCCCCTTGTTATCCTCTTCCTCCTCCGCAACGACGCCGTTTGGGGCTGCTTCCTCTGCTGCGTCGCTTTTAGGAGGAACGTCCTCTGCGACGCCCTTTGGAGCAGCGTCCTCAGCTTCAACAAATCTGTTTGGCGCAGCCTCCCCAGCTCCAACGACTCCATTTGGTGGAACATCCTCAGCCTCAACGACGCCGTTTGGTGGAACGCCCTCAGCTTCAACCACAATGTTTGGTGGAACGCCCTCAGCTACGACTACGGCATTTGGTGGAACGCCCTCAGCTACGACTACGGCATTTGGTGGAACGCCTTCAGCTACGACTACGGCATTTGGTGGAACGCCCTCAGCTACGACTACGGCATTTGGTGGAACGCCCTCAGCTACGACTACGGCATTTGGTGGAACGCCCTCAGCTACGACTACGGCATTTGGTGGAACGCCCTCAGCTACGACTACGGCATTTGGTGGAACGCCTTCAGCTACGACTACGGCATTTGGTGGAACGCCCTCAGCTACGAATACAGCATTTGGTGGAACGCCCTCAGCTACGACTACAGCATTTGGTGGAACACCCTCAGCTTCCACGACGCTGTTCGGTGGAGCGTCCTCCGCGTCAACGAAACTGTTTGGTGCAGCCTCCTCAGTTTCAGCGTCGCCGTTTGGAGTCGCGTCCTCATCTTCCACGACTCCGTTTGGTGGAGCGTCCTCTGCATCGGTGTTCGGAGCAACGGCTTCTTCATTTGGTGGAACAACTTCTGCAACGACGCCGTTTGGAGGTAGTACTTCCTTGGCCTCGACGACAGCTTTTGGAGGATCATCCTCAGCTGCAACGACGCCGCCTGGAGCCTTGGCACCTTCTTCAGTATCCTCAACTGCTGCAAGTAGCTCTCCTTTGTTCCCAGGTGCGTTTGCCACTGGAGCCTCTTCGACCTCAACCTCAACGACGTCGTTCCTTGCGTTTGCAAAGCCATCTGCTCCAGCCACTACTACAACGGCGACATCGTCTAGCTCTTCGGGACTCTCCTTTGCTTCTCAACCCTCGTTTGGGTTCCCTAATGCTGCTTCGGCTTCGGCTTCTTCAGCTTCTTCGGCGGCTTCTAGCGCATCTGCTTCAAAACCATCAGGGTCTTTTTCGTTTACCACATCTTCGGCGCCACTGTTCTCGACTGTGACGACCACCACTGCATCAACCGTGGCTACTGGCAGCGCAACCCTTTCATCATCTGTGCCTGGCTTTGGTGCTACTACTGCATCTTCTGCCACCACGGGTGCTTCGGCGGTTCCTGCTGCTTCTACTGGTGCAGCATCTACTGCCAGTGGAGGATCATCTTTTACAGGATTTGGCGTAGGAAGCACGGCATCCAATGTTTCTCTTGGGACTGGGTTTTCCTTTGCGAATAAGTCATCAACACCAGCGGTTTCTAGTGCTACTACTTCTGCGTTTGGTGAGCTGCGCAGTTTGAATCTAATTAGAAATATCTATGTAAATCATATCTGCTGCTGTCTTTGAGGTGTCTGAACTGTTTTTTGTTGCTAAAATGGAGTTCCGCTGGTGAATTACATCTATAACAACCCACTGTAAAAGTTACAGTTGTGAAGTAGGTTCCAGTAATAAATTCTTCATTTTTGTCTTGTCACACCCCAAAGTGTGGATTTAAGGGTCCATTTGGTGGGCAAGATATAATAGGCTAGTATAAGATAACTGTCATATCCTATTGGAATTAATTATTTGGTGCACCGATATGATTTGATTTTCTTATCCTATTGTCTATTCTATCTTGATAGTGCTGTGTATTTCTTATCCTAAGGGGGGAGTTGGGTTAGAAAGTAATAGCGTAGGATAGTTGATCTTCTCCCTACTCTCACCACCTGACATTCATTACAAAAGTTATCATCATCACTACTTTTGTCATCACCATCCTTGTTGTCATTACCACCTCTCTCACCAGTGTTTTCATTGTTGTTGCCATCACCACATCTACCACCTTTGTTGTTGCTGCTATCACCTGATCTACATTATTTTTGATATTATCATTTCTATCACAACAACCACCTTTAGCATATCATGGTTGTTAAACTACCCACCACCACTTCCGCTATTTTTGCTACCACTTATATCACTTTTTCATTTAGTTTCATATTTTATCATCACTCTCACCGTATCATCTCCATCATAGCAACTACCAATACATTGCCATCACTATCATTAGCATATCCACTTATGTCGTTGTCATTGTTATGACACTTTTACAATTGTTATCATTCTCACCACAGTCTCCACTATCACCATCATGTTGTTATTTCCGTTGTCATTATCATCATTGTTATAGTTACCACCGTCACCATTAGTTGCTATCATCTTATTATTGTTGTCATCATCATCACCACCATTATGACTTTTGCAACATATTGTTTATTCGATCTTTATCATGGTGTGCACCAAACATTGGATATGGTTAATTTCTTATACTTTTATTATCTTGCTCTTATCCTATCATGTTCATATCTTATCCTTTTTTTAATTTATAAGGAGAAGCATTGAGTTGAAGTTGTATGTTTCTATGGCAGCGTGGGTGATTTATTTATATTGAAAAAAGAAATCATTACAATAAACAGAGGAGATTCGATATCCTCTAATAATAGAGATATAATCCTAAAATAATGCAAATGTAATCTTGACATTTTTTATTTTTCAAATTTGATAAAAGATATGATCCTTATATCTGTAATAATAAAGATCTGATTCCTTTTTTCTAATTATTATCCTCCCTCATGTTAGAGCATATATGTTATATGCGCTCAACTTGTTGCAAATTTAATTGATCCTTGGTCCTTTTAGAGATTTGGTGAATATGCTTGCTAGCTATTCACTAGAGTTGACAAAACTAGTAATGATATCTCCAAACTCCAACTTTTCTCCTATGAAATGATAATCCACCTCCATATGTTTGATTATTTCATGAAAGACAAGATTAGAGATAATGTGTAAAGTTGTCTGGATGGCATTTTGAAAATGTCCAAATGGTGCATGAGGTGATTGCTTAAGGACATAAAGGTTCTTGTGAAGACGACACACCTTAACAGATGACAACTCTTGAGCAACAAATCTAGGAGGTTGCTCCAAATAGACTTCCTCTTTGAGATCTCTATGGAGAAAGATATTCTTGATATCAAGTTGGAATAGGGTCTAATGACTACAACCTCCCATGCAAAAGAGTAGGCGAATAGGTGCCACTTTGGGAACAAGAAACAATGTGTCAATCTAATATTTTTCATAGATATGTATTCCTCTGGAAACTAGGTGTGTTTTAGAGCCATCAATTTTTTCAATAGGACCAATTTAAAGAGTGTAGCCATTGACACTCACCAATTGTTTTGCCAACTTGAAGAGAAACCAATTCTAAGTACCACTACTTTGGATGACACATATCTCATCAATCATAGTTTGTCGCCACTGTGGGTGAGGTAAAGCATCACTTGGAGACTTTGAATTTGAACATGAGATAAAAATGACAAATAAGTATATAATATGGAGGAAAGTTAATGATAATCGAGGTTAGTATAGTGGGGGGAATGTTACGGGTAGAATGTATACCATGTCAAACAACAATAGGCTAGTTTAATTCAAGAGATGAGACCGGATTCAACATGAGAAATAGTTTTGGGGAAGGGTCATGTGTGGCCTCCATTATAACATTATCCATTGAAGTTGGCAATGAAATGTCAGGAGGCCATAGACGATGTTGATATACTTGAAAAGGTGTTGGAGAAGCATTTTGAGGCATGGTTAAGTTTTTGTGGTGGTGACAAAGGAAGATTGACATATGAGGGAAAGTGACTACATAGTTCTTGATTAGAAGGAAGAAATGCAAAATATGAACAGACTCAAAGAAAGTGACATAGTTGAAACAAAATATTAGCTAAGATTAGTTGAGCAACAACAATATCCTTTTGCATTCAATGATCCCATTCCAATTCAGGTATATGAAGTTTGTTGAAGAATACTATTGAATGCCATGAAGTTTTGGAATACATGAGAGAAGTATTCACGAGCATTGACATTATGAAAAACAACTATGGGATATACCAAAGTATGTTCTAATTTCATTGCAAAATGTGTCATAGAAAACTTTTATTGATTTGTCATGAACCAAACCCAAGTACATCGAAAGTAGACATCAATAAAGGAGACAAAATATTTAAAACTAGGAGTAACAATGTGAGAAGAGCCCCAAACACTATAGTGAACTAAAGAAAAAACAGATACAACATGTTTGTTAATGCTACAAGGAAAGGATTGACGAATGTATTTACCTAGTTGACATGACTTATAATTTAAACTAGAAAGATGTTTAAACTTGGCACCATCTTTTGTAGTTTGGTCATCCTAGGATGTCTTAATTATGTATGAATCACCAAAGGAGAAATAGTAGTTGCACAAACAAGTGTTGATGGAGGGAGATAGTAGAGGCCATGTGATTCACATTTGACGCCTTTATTTTTAGTGAATTTAAAGATAATATCATGGGATTTGGTTAGGTTGGTGACAAAAAGTAAATTAAATAGGTAGTTAGGTACATAAAGAACAAAATCAATAGTGAGAGATGGAAGTAGATGGGTAGTGCGTCAGAAGCTTGAGTTGGGGAACCATTGGCTGCAGAGATGGATGGCAAATTATTAGCAATGATAGGGGAACACTAAAGAGAACTATTACCTAATATATGATTGGTTGCGCTAGAGTCAATGTCCCAAGGACCTAAGCAAGGAGATTGAGAGAGATAAGCTTATGGTTTATTAGTGTGTGCCACCAAAGTAGTTTTACTAGCAAGTTGAAGACTCACACCATTGGAGAAACTCCTCATATGTAGTTGGGTTCATACTAGTTGGGCAATAAATGATCAACTAATGACTCTAGATGCCCGAGCAAGTTTGTTTGGATGAGGATGTTTCACATGTAGCTTCTAACATCTATCAGTGGCCATTGTGGTGACAAAGATCACATTCAAAACAATGTTTAGATTAACATGTGTGATAACTACCTTATGTATTTCTCTGTGTGGCAAGAGAAAAAGTGTCTCCAAGAGAAGAGCTATGTGTTTGAGTTAATTTTTGGAGGAATACATAAGAGTGGATGAGGCAAAAGTCATACTATGGATTACTAGTTATCCCAAAATTTGATCACATGTAGCAACATACTCTTGGCAAGCCATACAAAGCTAACGCCATAAAAAATGTACTACGGTTCTCAAGTTCCTCCTCTACATCTATAGATGGTGGTAGGAGCTCATTAGAAGTAATGCAACATGGATCCGTCCAAGATATGTAGACATAGGACCATTAAATTATTATAGAGCAAGTAGTGTCACGAGGTCTTTATAGCCAATTTACAAATGTTGGATTTCATTGGTATAGAGGGTACAAGCCTCACTCCAAACTGATGGTACATCTCACAAGGAAGAAAAATAGGTTTGAGTGAGGGGTGGATGGTGGACTTGAGACAATGCATAGTTGAGCATCAATCATTATCCATTGTTCACCTTTTTCATATTATCACTATGTGGTCGTCGATCTTGTCGGAAAGTTGCTGGAGAAGTAGTAGAGCAACACATTTTGTATCGTTGGGTAGATCGGCATGATGTGATCACAATCAGGTGATCATTAGAGAAAAAGGAGGTTATTGGTAAAAGTTGTCAAAGATGTCAACAACCACCATTAACAGTGGTTGAACATGGAAATCCAAAAGGTTCTCGTCCAAGGATTGTGGATCTACTAGGCAAACATGGTTTTGAAGAGGCTCTAGATACCATGTAATTTATAAAGAAAAGGAGAAGCATTGGGTGAAACAGTGTGTTTTTGTGATAGCAAAAGTGATCTATTTATATTGAAAAAAAGAAATCAATACAATAAATAGAGGAGATTTGATATCCTCTAAGAATGTAGATATATTCCCATACTAATAAAAATGTAATGTTGATATTTCTAATTATTTAAAAATGATAAAAATATGATCTTGATATTTATAATAATAAAGATATGATTGTTATTTCTCTAGTTATAACACTTTATCTTGACCACAAAACGAGCCCTAGTTCTCATTGAGCTCCAAGCAAGAAGAGTACATATGCTCTAATTAGCTTACATGTAACTCATCTATTATTTGTATTAAATATGTTTTTAAGGAAAAGAGATGACATTGATCAAACTTCAAATTGTGTAATCATTCTTGCTACCAAGTCTAAGATTACTCTTCCTTAAAGCATAAACCTTTTGAGTTGAAGCAGAATAACTTTTCATGGCTTTAACATGCTAGATGTATTTTAGACTCATCTTTGTATTTTATATATCATCTTTTTCTATTTCACTTTTTAATATTATTCTTCCTCGTTCTTGTACTCTTGAATCTTTTCCCTCTAGTAAACTGTTTCTGTTAAAAAAAAAGTTAAAAATCTTTTTTAATCTGCAGGGGTGAGCTCTACAACCTCCACTGTTTCAGCAATTTTGGGTTCCAGCTCCAGTGGAACTCAGGCATCATCTGCTGTTGTTTCCACTACTGGGTATGCATATATTTTGTAGGCTTCTAGTTAAAGTATGCATTTTTCTGTATCTTTGTTCGCCTCTCCTTTCCATCTCTTGCTTTTCTGTTTATGCATCTTCAAAATTTTTCAGTGATATTTCATTGTTACTAATTTCGTTCCAAAACTTATGCCCATAATAGTTTTGTATAAAATATAAAGACACTTGTTTGTGTTCTGATCTCAAGCCTGTTGGTTCATATCGTAGAGTTATGGCACCTAAAATATTGTCGCCTTGATACTTGGTGTTTCATCATGGTTTTATATTGAATAAAGTGCCTTAGTGGGTTAAAAGAGAAAGGTGTGTATAATTTATTTTTGACCTATATCCCCAAGTATGGATTAACTAGGAATATTAGGATTTTATGATTCAAAATAAGTTATAGAGATCTGGAAAAATTAGGAATGTTATAATTAGAGAAATAAGGGTTATAGCTTTATCATATCAAAATTATATCTCGATTATTAGTGGATATTAAACCTTCTCTATTTATTGTATTGATTTCCTTTTTCCAATATAAATAAATAACCTGTGTTATCACATAAAAACTTGGGTTCAGCTTAATACTTGTCTTCTTCATTATATAATTTAACATTATATATGTCTAAATTTGTAGGATCAAGTTAAGGGGAATAAATTTGAAACAAGTTAAATTTAATTTTAGAAATATGTCTTTGTCTTTGTTATTTTGTATGCTTATTTGTTGGAGGTTTGTTTTCAGTTAATTCATGATTTACTTTCCATATCCGTAGCAGATTTGATCTGCATAAATACAAGTTGTTTCCTCTATTATTGGTAACAATTCAATAAGAGAATATTTTTCTACATGGTATCAAATTTTTTGTCATGTAAATATATATGTTTTTTCTCACAAGCCTTTAGTGTCTTAATTCCTAACAATATCTAGGAAGCTTTAAATGATATTGAATGGAGGGATGTTGTTCATAAGGAGATGATAGCCCTAGAGAAGAATGCTACGTGGGAGGAAGTGAATCTGCCAAATGGAAAGAAAATTGTTGGTTGCAAATGCGTATTTACTCTTAATATTACTTGGATGCTCTTTGAAAACGTACAGCCTTGTAGCTATAGGCATTACACTAACATGGAGTAGATTATTCTAAAACATTTTCTCCAGTAGCAAAACTAAACACTATTTGGGTTCTTCTATCAGTTGCAACCAACCTTGACTGACCATTAACTCAATTAGATGTAGAAAACACATTTCTAAATGGAGATTTAGAGTAAGAAGTGTAAATGGAACCACCACCTGGGTTTGATGAAAAATTTGGGAATAAGGTTTGCAAGCTTGAAAAATCCTTATATGGTCCAAACAATCCACTTGAACCTGATTTGAAACATTCAGTTGGTTTATGAAAGGCTTGGGTTATAATCAAGGTCAATCATATCACACATTGTTCATTAAAATGTCTATTGTGGCTAAAGTTTCAATTTTAATTGCCTACGAAAATGACATATATTGATAAAAGATTATTTAATTTGATGAACATATTCAAGAAAAATCTAGCCAAGGAATTTGAGGTTAAATTGAACAAGGGCATAGTAGTCTCTGTTAAGGTTCCAACATAAAACCAATTGGCAATACGTGGAGTAGCCTAACATGTATTTAAATCATACCAAATGACCTGAGGTAGGCGATGTAGGACTTTCAACACGTTCCCTCCAACGAAGCCTGTTGGATCAGACAAAAGGTACTTTTGACCCAACTAAAGGGCAACTTTTGGCTCATGACAATAACCGAAAAGATGTTAGACTTTGACTCTGATACCATGTTAAGGTTCCAACATAAAACCAATTGGCAATATGTGGAGTAGCCTAACATGTATTTAAACCATACCAAATGACTTGAGGTAGGCGATGTGGGACTTTCAACAGTTTCAAAGCAGAAGTACATCCTATATCTCTTGAAAGAAGAAACTTGGAGATGTTAAATATGGTGTTCTGGTACACATAGGAAGATACCAAAGACTGGTTGGAAACCTTGTCTACTTTTCTCATAAATTGCCCAGAGATTGCTTTCACTGTTAGCATGGTGAGTCAATTTATGAATTCCATACAAAGAACACCGGGAGGCTGTGTATAATATTCTTTGTTACCTTGAAAGCACACCTTGGAAAGGTTTATTCTTAGGTATATACTGTTGATTAGGCCAGTTTTTTATTACTGTTAGAAGGTCAAACTTGGGTTATTGCACATTTTTATGGGGTAATCTTATCACATGGAGGAGAAAAAAAATGTTGTTGCCAGGAGTAGTACTAAACCTGAGTTTAGATCAATTGCTCAAGGAGTATGTGAAGTCTTAATGGCTGAAATGTGTTCTAGAGGAGCATGGGAGACCAATAGCTCTCCCTATGTAGTTGTTTTGTGATAACAACACTGCTAAAATCATTGCTCATAATCTAGTCGTTCATGATGAGGGAAACATGCTGAAATTGATAAGCACTTTATCAAGGAGAAGCTTTAAGATGGAGTTGCATTCCTTTGATCCCAACCAATAAAAAAATTGCTGACATTTTAACAAAGAGTCCACTAAGGCTGCTTTTTGAGAATCAAGTCACCAAGTTGGGATGATTGATATCTTTGCACCAACTTGAGGGGGAGTTTGGATTAATTAGGAATATTAGGATTTTATGATTCAAAATAAATTATGGAGATATGTACAAATTAGGAGTAGTTGAATTAGATCAGATTTATTTTTTTAGAAATGCCTTTCTGTTATTTTGTTTACTTATTTGTGGGGGATTTGTTTTCATTTAATGTGTGATTTATTTTCCTTATTTGTTATAGATTTGATCTGCATAATACAAGTTGTATCCTCTGTTATTGGTATCAATACAGTAAGAGAATATTTTTCTAAGTGATACGAGACTTTATGGCACATTGGTACAAGCCTCCTCAAGGTTAAGGGATAAGAGTGGCTTAGACCCTAATATGTTGACCATAAGTTCGTTAACATTTATCAAACTTGCGAGTCAACTCGCTAATTCGGACGAGTTATCGAGTCCATTGACTAGTTACGAGTTAACTTGTGAGTAGGCTCGTTTTAGAGTAAACTCGGATATATACTCGGTAAATTCTAAGCAAACTCACGTGCGAGAGGGTGACTCACCGAGTTCAAAGGAAAAGAGGGACACTTACAAGTTACATCTTCTTACTACTCGCACTCCCCATCCCTTCTTACATTTGAATGTTAGATCTCACACTCCTCATCCCTTCTCATTGCTGTTGTTGCGCTCTGCTAGTCGTCATCGTCGCCGCTGCACTCCTCCACTGTTTGCTGGTCGCGTTGGTCACTGGTCACAGCTTGGCCGCTGGTCATGCTGCTCGCTGGATCGATGGTGGTTCGACTGCTGCACAGACTTGGATTGAGATTTCAGATTTTAGGTTTTTCTTCTCATAGATTAGGGATTTTAGGGTTTTTGTTTTTAATTAATTTTTTATATTTTGATTATTTTGTTGCACATGGGTTGAATTAAATTTTTTATTTTGGTAATTTTAGATATAAAGATTGAAATTTGAAAGTATTTGGGATTGGTTCAAATTCTTTTGAAGGCATGTAAGCTTGATAACATTTATGTTTTTTAGTTATTTCATTGTTATTTTATCACTTTAAAAACTTTTATTTGTTCAGTTTATTATTATATGAACTTATTAATTTTAATAATGTGTAATTAATATTATCATGTTTCTACTTTTTGTTAAAGTGGTATTTTTTATATGAAGTAGAATCTATCAAGTCTACGAGTCAAGTCTACATACCTCCTACCAGTCTACCTCGAGTCTGATAACCATGATAACCATAGTTAGAGTCATTACCTCCGAGATTTTATTTACTTTGATCCTTAGTGTTTTCGTCACAATTTTGTCCTGAAAAGACTAAAATATATTGATGTTAACCTCTAAGTGAAGCAGGATTTTATGGTGTCCCACCACAATTTTCATTTTTAACGTTCTTGTTTCTTCTCCCAGAGTTTTCAGTAGTAGGATTGTTGGAGTACTGCATTTTCATGTATTATTTGATGCCCCTCTAGTTTCCCCTTATAACCCTTAAACTATTTGCTGGTATGCTATTCATAGGACTGATCAGACTCATTTCACTTTGCATTGTATATGGTTTTCTGCTTTATGTTCGATAAATCACTTTGGTTTCTGCAATTTATATCTATTCCTATGTTTTGAGTTATGGATGCAGAGTTATTAATAAATATAGTAAGATGGTTTTGATATTTCCTTTTCTGCTTGTCCTATAGAACTACATCCACTGTCAGCACTTTAGTTACTGCTGCACCAAAATTGCCATCTGAAATCACAGGGAAGACTGTTGAGGAGGTACTTGACGTGTTCTCTATTCTTTTCTAAATTCCCTGAATCAAATATTTTGCATATTTTGTAAGTTAATAATGATTATTATTGATAAGTGTGTTTGGCTAAGTAAGTTGAGATTATGTACTTGGTTAAGACTTGAGCTGTCCTTTCATTGAACTATATTATAGAAATGATTATTTCTACAAATGAATACATGAGATACTGAAATATTATGGAATAGACTTGGGAATAGTGGAAAGATGATAGACTAGTTATAATGGATTTAGTTTCCCATTTTTTGGATAAAATATTGTATGTTCAAATCCATAGCTAGTGTGTGTTTGAATTATCTTATTTTTTTTGTTCAAAATAGCTTGGGATATAAATATTGCTGAGAAAGTGAGAAAATGAGAGGAAATTTTCTGAATGTACTAAAGTATATTTACTACTTAATGGATTGATTTATTCATAGCAAGAATGATTGCAAAAATAATAAATAACAACTAATAGTTTCAAGATAACAGATAAAACATCACAATTTAGAAAGTTACATTAAATGATGACCTAATCATTAATTGAACTATTTGGAAAGATAATGAACATCAATATGGACTTTGAAATGAGTGGGTGAGAGTGGGGTTTTATGTGACCTATACAAGGCTCCTCAAGATAGGAAAAGTTTCTAACATGTCCAAGATGAGAATATGTTTGAGAAAAATTTGGATGACTGAGTAACTTAGTCTGTGGGTTGGGAAACAAGTATCCACAAAAGATGGGAAGGATGTTTATGACAATAAATCCAAAAGAAAATGGAAGTAATACCTGAATATACCAAAATACAAGTACCTGAATTTTTCATACTTCTTAATTAAAGAATAAAAAATGGAGCAAAATACCCCTGAACAAAATCATGGGAAAGTTGTCAGAATTTTGATAACTGCTGGAAAAGCTGAAAGTCTCGGGAAAAGTCCGACAGTTTCAAGAGTCTGCTCAAACTTGCTGAAGAACTATTCTGTTGCAGAAACAAAGCTCACTTAGATTATGTCAAAATATATATTAGGAAGTTTTAGATATTATTCTTACTGGATTTTAATTCGCTATATTATATTTGTTGTATCTTGCTATTATTACTAGCATAACAGCCCCACAATTCTAGGGATTTGTCCTTTAGAAAGGCTACCCTTATTTTCTAAAATAAGCTCATGTATACATATATCTGATGTATGTAAGGAGATAAAATATAGGAAAGATATTTTTTTCTCCTAAACATGAGATGGCATTAGAACTCCTGGTCCTTGCGAGCCTCTGACCGTGTGATCTGATTGTGGCCTTCATTGATGCAAAACTCTCCAATTTCATCGCAGTCTTCATTGCTGCATGACCCCAAGAGCTCATCACAGTCTCTATTGCTGTGCGTTTCCCTACTGTTCTAGGCCCTGAATCGATCTACATCTTTGTGCCTTAATTGCACATATTTGTAATGGCTGAAATGGAAAATGGAGACAAGTTCCAAAATACGGGGGAGCTGCAGAATGTCCATTCAGCCAATTGATTGAATGGAAAAAATTATCTCAAATGGTCTCAACTCATTAAGACCATCCTGAAAGGGAAAGGAAAGGTTAGCCATCTAATTGATGATGCCCCTTGCTAAAGAAGAAGCCAAATTCAACTCATGGGATGAAGAAGACTCCATGATCATGGCATGGCCATGGAACTTAACGGTTCCAAAAGTTAGTGATACATTCATGTTCCTAAATTTTGTTAAGGCAATATGGATTGCAATAGAGCAAACCTACTCTAAGGCAAAGGATGTTACCCAAATATACATACGAGGTGAAGGTAAAAATGATGGCAGCCAAATAGGGGACTAAAATTGTCATGGAGTGCGCTAATCAACTCAAATCATTTTGGATGGAATTGGATTATTACAGGGTCATAAAGGTCAACTGTTTGAGGATTCAACAATTCTAAGGGAATACGTTGAATAAGACCGGATTTAAGATTTGTTGGTAGGCCTACACCAAGAATATGATTAATTCAGAGTCCAAATATTGGGAAAGGAGAAGGTTCCTATACTCAATGAAGTAATGACGATTAATTGGAGTGAAGAAAGTAGAAAAAACTTAATGCTAGAGACCCCAATTGCAAATAGTTCAGCTATGATTGTTGAAGGAGCATCAACCATGGTTGTAGAACAAACGAAAGTAGGCTCTCTTTCAAATTTGAAGAGAAAAAACATGGATTATGGTGCAATTATTGCAACAAGCCACACTACATGAGGGACAAATGTTAAGTTGCATGTAAAACCTCAAAGCAAAGATTGGGGACACAAAGGAGGCCTTCCAAGGAGATAGGGGCAAGCTCAAGTTGTTGCTGGTAGTGGCAGATGTAAAATCTTAAGTCAGTTGGTGCAATTTACTTTTCAAATACTATCAGGAAGACTTTCGATACAAGGATCATTCTTAAATTATTGATCACCATATAAACCATTGGCTTTGATAGCACTGTTGGGTCTTTCAAAGGGGGTTTCACCTGGGAGAAACAATACCAATGAGACATGAGTCAACTCACATAAAGGATTAACATCACTTTCAACCCAAAACCTTAAGACATTAGGTTATGACTCTTTTTTCATTATATGTTGCTTAACTTTCTCATTCTTACACAATATGGGACTTATAGTTACACTTGGATTACCTAACCCAACAATCTTTTCCTCAAGTGTGAGTCCTTTCACATTGATATATCCCCCTCGAGCTCAATAGACTTATACTTGGATTTTCCCAACCTACCCATTATCGGATTTTAGACTATAGAGTCATAGACCATATGACACCACACTTAGACACTTCTTGATATTATTCCATCAATAATGGAAAATTGATATTTAGGTTTTGAAATCGAATAAAACAAACAACAAAATTGGGGAAAGAAACAAAATAGAGTAACCTCGTTAATGAAAGTGCCACAGACAAAGTTTGATAAGTCTAAGGATGATCACCAAAAGAGTTGGTGAATTCTTCATAAGATTGAAGATGCAAGGAAAAACCCTAGCAAAGAGATATTCTCACTTCTTAGGATTACACTTTGTTTGTAATTAAATAAAAGGAAAAGTAAACAAAAAAATTACAAGCAAAACTAATTTGCCCAAATGGTAAACTAAGTAAATTATAAACTAATGCTTTTGGGTTCAAATCCTAACTCCAAAAAAAGAATAAAATATTTTTGTTTCTGACTCTTTAGTATACATGTAACCATCTTAGTCTCTTCAATATTTTGGGGCTTTGATGGTTGGGCCTCCTACAAAAGAGTCATCTTCTGTTGTAATGTGTCTCGGGCCCTTCTAACCCTTTCTCTAGTCATTATTTCATCTAAGTTTCATTTAGATCTTCATCTTTCTTCTCATAATCTTGGGCTTTTATGTTCGCATCACTTCTTCACATATTCCCCACGTCCCAATAATAAGAAAATTTTCATAGTCGAAGGAACCATGGTAATTACAATGTACGGGATGTCCAAATAACCCCAACCATAATACTAAAAATGTTCTTCATATCCCTAAATTATCCACAAATTTGATATCTATCCAAAAACTTACAAAGGACCTCTTATGTAATGTGGTATTTCATAGCAACTCTTGTATATTGGATGACAAGAAATCAGGGAGGACGATTGGACATTCTCAAGAATGGAATGGATTTAACTATGTGGAAGATCTGAATTTGCCCACTCTCTAATATTTGAGTCCTCCATGACTAACAAAAAAAAATCTAGTTGTTTCATTGTCATCTGGGACATCTTTCATTTTGAGTCATAAAGTTACTATTCCCTGTTTAAAAATTTAAATCCAGAGAGTCTTTATTGTGAGGTGTGTGAACTTGCCAAACACAAGCATGTACCTTTTCCTATTAGCAATAAAGTAAGCATTTCTCCATTTTATCTTGTCCATAAAGATGTGTGGGGGACCTCCAATGTTCCTAATATCTCAAGGGCTAAATGGTTTATAAACTTTATAGATGATTGTATAAGGGTAACGTGGTTTTTCCTTCTAAAACACAAATATGAGGTTAACTTTGTTTTTCTACATTTTGTTTCAATGGTTAAAAATCAATTTGGGGTTAATATCAAGAAACTTAGGTTTGATAATGCTAAATATTACTTCAATGTGTACATACACCCTAACAAATTAGGATTGCAGAAAGAAAAAATGGGCACTTACTAGATCAAACTAGAGCATTCCTTTTTCAAAATAATGTTCAAAAAATAATATGGGGGGAGACCATACTCACTATTGCTTAATTAATAGATTACCCTCTAGTGTTTTATCCTCAAAAAGTCCCATGGAAGTCCTAAACTCATTCTACCCACATATAACCCATACAAATAACCTTCAACCTAGAATATTTGGGTGTCTCTCCTTTGTACATGATCAAAAAGGGGAAAATTTGACCCAAGGGCAGTTAAATGTATTTTCTTGTGGTACTCCGACCAAATAAAAATGGTATAAGTGCTTTCATCCTCCTTCCCAAAAATTCCTTGTGTCAATGGATGTTACTTTCAATAAGCAACTAAGCTATCTTAACGAACCTCATCTTCAAAGGGAGAATTTAAGAAAGGAAGATGACCCTATCATATTACCAAATATATCCTTTGGACAAGAAATTGGAAAAAAAAAGTACTATTGGAACATAACTTCAAAGGATGTGAAACTGAAGAAGAACAAGTAGAGGTAAATCAAATTCCTGAATTTGCAAGACCATTAACTAGACCACATGATACAAAATTTGGAGAAAATATGGTGTACACATGAAGAGGAAAGGTTATTCTAAGATCTACTCATGTTCAAGAATCCAACCCTACATCATTACATGAGTTAAATCTTTTTTATTCCATACATTCTAAGTCTACTAATGAATTTCCTTCTAAAAAAACCAATTTTGCATAGGTGGACCATAATTTAGACCTCCGAATTGCTCTTAGAAATGGAACAAAAACTTGCACCAAATAACCTTACCCCTTGGAAAATTATCTCTCTTTTGAAAAATTCTCACCTACCCATTAAACTTTCTCACAAGCCTAAACACCACAACTACACCTTTTGTATTTGAGGCATTAATTGACAAAAAATAGAAATAAGTCATGGATTGGAAATGTAGACATTGAAGAAAAACAATACTTGGAAGCAAGTCACCCTACCAATTAGAATAAAACTTGGTGTGTGCAAGTGGGTTTATATAGTCAAGTATAAGTGAGACTATTGAGAGGTATAAGGCAAGGTTGGTGGCCAAAGGGCTCACTCAAACATATGGAGTGGATTACTTGGAGACTTTTGTACCAGTTGCCAAAATGAACATGATTAGGGTAATTTTGTCATTAGCAACAAACCACAATTGGGACTTGTAACAATTTGATGTAAAAAGTACATTCTTGCATGGGGATCTTGAAGAAGAGATATACATGGAGGTACCATTTGGGTATACAGGGTAGATGGAGGCCAACACAAGTTGCAAGGTAAAAAACTATATGGTTTGAAATAATCACCTAGAGTATGATTTGGGAGATTCAAAGTCATGACGAGCCTTAAATACAAACAAAGCCAAGGGGACCACACTTTATTTATCAAGCATTCTTATTTAGGGGGAGTAACAATACTATTGGTCTATGTGAATGATATTATTGTTACTGAGAATGATAAAAAGGAACAACAAAGGTTAAATCAATGTCTTGCCAAGGAATTCGAAATCAAGACTTTAGGGAAGTTAAAATATTTTTTGGGGGTTGAAGTAGCCCATTTCAAGAAAGGGATCTTCGTATCTCAAGAAAAATACATTACTGACTTGCCATAGAAACCGGTAAAACAACCTACAAACCAACAAGTACACTTGTTGACCCAAATTTAAAGTTGTGGGTAAAGAACTGTACCAAAGACTTGTGACAAGTCTCATTTACCTTTCTCACACTAGGCCAAATATTTCCTTTGTTGTGACCCTAGTCAGCCAATTTATGCACCAACCAAAGGAAGCACATTTACAAGGATGCTTGTCATGAGGCATATACAAATGCTGATTATGCAGGTTAATTTGTGGATTGGAGGTCACATATTGGATATTTCACCTTTCTCAATGGAAACCTAGTAACTTGGAAGAGCAAAAAACAAAATGGGGTAGCTAGATCTAGTATCGAAGCAAAATATCGAGCAAAGACCCAAGGAATATGCAAACTTTTATGGTTGAAGATTATATTGGAAGATTTCATGATTAAGTGGATGAAATATGAGGTTATGTTGTGACAATAAATGTGCAATTAGTATGGCCCATAATCTAGTACAACATGATAAAACTAAACATATTGAGGTGCACATACATTTTATCAAAGAAAAGCTTGAAAGTGGCTAGATTTGCATCTCATATGCATCCACTCAAGGTCAACCTGTAGACATAGTCACCAAGGGGCTGAGCAGCAGTAACTTTAAAAGAATTATGTCCAAGCTGAGAATGGGAACACTCATTCACCAGCATAAGGGGGAGTGCCAAAATATATGTGAGGAAGTTTTAGATATTATTCCTACTGCATTTTAATTCATTATATTTTCTGTATCTTGCTACTAGCATAACAACCTCCAATTCCAGAGATTTGTCCCCTAGAATAGGTTAACTTATTTCCTAAAATAGCAAACAAGCTCATCCATATATATCTGATGTATGTATGAAAATAAAATGTAAAAAAGATATTATTTCTCCTAAATTTGAGAGATCACGAGCTATGATACCATGTTAGAGGAAATTTTCTGAGTGTGCACAAGTATATTTACCAGCGTTGCTTTATTTATAACAAGAATGATTACAAGCATAATAAATAAAAACTACTAGTTTCAAGAGAACAATTAAAACGCCACAACTTGCTGAGGTACATTGAACTATACTAATTGTAACTGAACTACTTCGAAAGATAATAAAAATTAAATGGTCTTATTTCCAACAAAAAAACTTTAAAAGAAAAAACAAATTTTCTCTGAACATAAGGTAAATCAAACACCCTGAGGTACACCCCCCTAAAAAAACATCATTTTCCAGCATGCAGAAATTCACTTTTCTAATAGGGTTTAACGAGGGTAAGATATTAGGAATTTCTGACACTGACATTATTTACAGTGTTCGGAATTAGATGTTATATTATTTCTCTCTAACAGTCTAACCCCTTCATAATCATATAACTTCTGTAGATTATCAAGGAGTGGAATGCTGAGTTGCAAGAGCGAACTGGAAAATTTAGAAAACAAGCAAATGCAATAGCTGAATGGGATCGCAGGATTTTGAACAATCGTGATGTGCTATTGAGGCTTGAGGTTTCTACATGCAAGCAGCTACAAATAAACTCTCTTAATTATTTTTTATATGCAAACAGTTTAAATTTTTTCAATTACTACTCTGTGGCTTATTTATAATGTTATATATTTAGATTGAAGTGGCAAAAGTAGTTGAGACACAGTCAAATTTGGAGCGGCAATTGGAGTTAATCGAGACTCATCAACAGGAGGTATTTTGAAAACCAGTTTATTTCTATCTACCTTATTCATTTATGTTTTAGGAGGTAATTTAATTTAGTTACGGTTTCATAAAATATTTTGCTTGTGTTCTATTTATAGCGTTCTTTGTCTTGTTACCTAACTGCAAATTCTATTTTGTTCTAATGGTAAAATTCTATTCCATTATTACACTTGAAATAGAAAAAAGAAAATAAAGAACTGATTTTGAGAGTCTGAAATCATCTTCTTGTGTTCTCTTATTTATAGGAGATAAAAATACAGATTCAGAGATACAATTAATAGAGAGACATGATTAATCCTAGAGAAGATAAACAGATGCATTCTAGGAACTAGGTCTACAACTAATCTCATAAATGTCCAACAAGATACACTTAATCTAATAAATACTTCAACACTCCCCCTCAAGCTGGAGCATACAAATTGAATGTACCAAGCTTGGAACAAATGAATTCCATTTGAGGTCCTCTCAAAGATTTTGTTAATGCATCTGCAAGTTGCTCATTGGAACCAACAAACTCAGTACAAATTTCTTTAGTCAACAACTTCTCTCGATTAAAATGACAGTCAATCTCAATATGCTTAGTCCTCTCATGAAATACTGGGTTGGAAGCAATATGAAGAGCAGCTTGATTATCACAATACATCTTCATAGATTGAATCTCACAGAAGTTCAATTCTTGCAAGAATTGTTTTACCCAAACAAGTTCACAAGTAAGAGACGCCATTGCCCTATATTCAGCTTCAACAGAGGATCGGGCAACAACGTTTTGCTTTTTGCTTTTCCATGAAATGATATTTCCTCCAATGAAAACACAATAGCCTGTAGTGGAACGCCTATCCATAGGAGATTCAGCCCAGTCAGCATCACAGTACCCAAAAATTTGGGTATTTCCTTTATCTTCATATAATAATCCTTGTCCTGGAGCTTTTTTAATATATCTTAAGATTCGAATGATAGCATTCCAATGATCCACACAAGGAGCTTGCATAAATTGGCTGACAACACCAACTGCAAAAGACAAATCAGGTCTAGTAATCGTCAAATAAATAAGTTTCCCAACCAGTCTTCTATATCTTTCTGCATCAGAGAAAACTTCACCCTGTCCTGCCATTAACTTCAAATTTGGATCCATAGGATTGTCCACAGGTTTGCAATCAATCATACCTGTCTCTTTTAGAATATCTAGAGCATACTTCCTTTAAGAGATGACAATACCTTCTCTTGATTGAGCTACTTCAATACCCAATAAATATTTTAGATTTCCAAGATCGTTGGTCTAAAAATGACTACACAAGTGCTCTTTTAGCTGAGATATTTTAGTAGCATCATTCCCTGTGATGACAATATCATCAACGTACACAATTAAATAAACATGTTTGCCAGGGGTAGTGTGACAATAAAACACTGAATGATCTGCTTCGCTGCGTTTTAATCCCAAAGCTTGAACAATAGAGTTGAATTTTCCAAACCAAGCACGTGGAGATTGTTTTAGGCCATAGAGGGATCGACGTAATGTACAAACCAAACCAGACTCCCCCTGAGCAACAAATCCAGGAGGTTGCTCCATGTAAACTTCTTCTAAGTCACCGTGCAAAAAAGCATTTTTAATATCCAATTGATGAAGAGGCCAATGACGAATGGCGGCCATGGCAAGGAACAGGCGGACAGTGGTCATTTTGGCTACTGGAGAAAAAGTATCACAATAATCAAGTCCATATATTTGAGAATACCCTTTAGCCACTAACCTTGCTTTAAGACGATCAACCTGACCATTGGGCCCAACTTTAATAGCATAGATCCAACGACAACCAACTGTTTTCTTTTCCGAAGGGAGAGGAACAAGCTCCCATGTTTTGCTGTGATCAAGAGCCTGCATTTCAGAAATCATGGCTTGTCGCCATCCAGGATGATCAAGCGCTTCGACCACATTTTTGGGAATTGTAATAGAGGAGACAGAGGAAATAAAAGAACAATAGGAAGGAGACAATCTATGATAACTAAGAAAATTGTAAATGGGATGAGGATTACGAGTAGAATGAGTACCTTTGTGAATGACAATGGGCCAACTGGAGTCATCGTTATCAGGAGCCGTGGTATTAGAGGATGATGGTGAAGGACCTGTTATGGATGGCTCATCTTGGGGAATGAGATTGTTCACCTGGTTCCTGCGTTGATAGGTGATGATAGGCTGTGATGCTGATTCTAGAGTATTTTGGTTGGGATTTGAGGTGTCAGGAATAGGAGGTACAACTGATTCAACTAAGGGATCATGAAACACATTTTGGACAGAATCAATATCCTGCATAGAATAAGGGAAGAAGGATGATGATTCAAAAAAGGTGACATTAGCAGACATGTAGTACCTCTTGGTTTCAGGAGAATAACACCGATATCCTTTTTGAAAACGAGAATACCCCAAGAAGACACATTTGATAGCTCTAGGTAAGAGTTTATCTAAGCCAGGAGACATGTCATGAACAAAACATATACATCCAAATACCCTAGGAGAAACATGAAAAATTGGTTCCTTTGGAAATAGAATAGAGTGTGGAACTTTATTATCAAGAGAAGAAGATGACATTCTATTAATGAGAAAGCATGCAGTTAGAATAGTATCTCCCCAATGATGAATAGGCATATTGGCACCCAGCAATAAGGTACGAGCAGTTTCAACCAAATGTCTATTTTTTCGTTCTGCTATACCATTTTGCTGTGGTGTGTGAGGACACGTGGACTAGTGTAAAATTCCTTGAGAATTTAGGACATTAGAAAAATCATTAGAAAAGTACTCTTTGGCATTATTACTTCGTAAAACTTTGATTACTTTTCCAAATTGAGTTTTGATTTCATTAAGGAAAGACTTAAAGATCTTTCATAAGATAAACCCAAGTACATCTAGAAAACCCATCAATAAAAGTAACAAAATATCTAAAACCAAAAGATGAAACACGACTAGGTCCCCATATATCTGAATGAACAATACTAAAGCAGAATCACATCTAGATTCAGAATGATTTGGAAAGCATGACCCGGTATGTTTCCCTAGTTAACAGGATTCACATTCAAGAGTTTGAAGGTTCTGAAGTTCAAGAACCATTTTTTTCAATTTTGCTAAATGAGGATGCCCTAATTGCTCATGTAACAGTTTTGGGGATAAGGACGCAACACAAGATACAGATGACTTAGTCCTAAGGTAGTATAAGCCTCCAGATTCACGTCCTTCTCCAATCAGTCGACCCGTACCACGTTCTTGGATAACAAAACAATTGACATTAAAGGTTATTGAGCAATTCAATGATTTGGTTAATTGGCTTACAGAAACAAGACTGAATGAAAAAGAAGGAACACAAAGAACATTTTGAAGGTTTAAAGAAGAAAAGATGGATACTTGACCAATTCCTTTAGAGGCTACTTTAGATCCATTAGCTAAAGATATGAGATGAGATGTTTTAGGAAATGAAAGAGAGGAAAATAAAGAGGTATTACCAGACATGTGGTCAGAAGCACCTGAGTCAATAATCCATGGATTTTGACTTTCCACATATTGCGAAATGCAAGCGGTTGACGAATTTGGTGTTGTAGATGCTTGAGCCAAATTGGTTGATTTCATCCTTAAATATTCTTGATACTCTTCATGAGAGAACTTAGGCTCATCAACTTTAGATTTTGAGGTATTAGCTGCCTTATCAGGAAAGCCGTGTAGAGCAAAGCAATTTTCCTTAGTATGTCTCATTCTTTTGCAATGAGAGTGTTGAAAGTCCCACATCGCCTACCTCATATCATTTGGTATGGTTTAAATACATGTTAGGCTACTCCACATATTGCCAATTGGTTTTATGTTGGAACCTTAACATGGTATCAGAGCCAAAGTCTAACATCTTTCCGGTTATTGTCATGGGCCAAAAGTTGCCCTTTAGTTGGGTCAAAAGTACCCTTTGCCTGGTCCGGCGGGCTTCGTTGGAGGGTGTGTGTTGAAAGTCCCACATCGCCTACCTCATATCATTTGGTATGGTTTAAATACATGTTAGGCTACTCCACATATTGCCAATTGGTTTTATGTTGGAACCTTAACATGGTATCGAGCCAAAGCCTAACATCTTTCCAGGTTATTGTCATGGGCCAAAAGTTGCCCTTTAGTTGGGTCAAAAGTACCCTTTGCACTGGTCCGCGAGCTTCGTTGGAGGGGGTGTGTTGAAAGTCCCACATCGCCTACCTCATATCATTTGGTATGGTTTAAATACATGTTAGGCTACTCCACATATTGCCAATTGGTTTTATGTTGGAACCTTAACAGAGAGCACTGAGGACGTCCTTTCCCACCACGTCCTCTAGAGCTGTGATTACCTCTTCCACGAGCAGAAATCATGGCGGAAGAATCAGCAAGTTCTTGACTGTTTTTGCTTTTGATAGAAGGAACATGAAGTAGCCTTGTGATTAAACTCTCCGTAGAAGGAACTTCTTCTCCAGTTAGAATCTAGTCTCTAACATGATTAAACTCTGGATTCATAGTCCTAAGAATCATTATCATATAGAATTTATCCAGCTTCGCCTTCCTTTCTTCTAATTATTCTGCCTCCAGGAACATTTTTAATTCTTGAACAGTTGACTGAGCTTCAGCAACAAAGGACATCATGGAATTATCCTCTTGTTTAAGGGAGGCTAGTCTATTAGCAGAATCATAAAGTCGTTGAATATCGTTAGCAAAGATATTTTGAGTCTTTTTCCAAAAAGAATTACATGTCTTGAAGGCTCGAAGAGTGCTCAAAATATGTGGTTCAACAGATTGCCATAATAGTGCACAAAGTTGATAATCCAGTTTCTTCCATTGAGTAGCCTGATCTACTGGTATAGTACTTCCATCTTCTTCTAGATGATCATGAACTCCTTGACCTAGAAACCAGAGCTCAACAGAGGAAGCCCAAGACAAATAATTTTTTCCATTTAATTTTTCTGTGGTTATAGTCGGAGTCCCAGAAAAAGATACAGACACAGGTCCTGACATTTTTCCAGGAAACAAGAAAGGACCAGCGTGCTGTCAGAGAGAGAATCGAGAGAGGCAGAGAGAAAAACGCAGACCCACCACGTTTTGTGACCGAGAACACAAAACAAAGTGCAGATCTGGCACCAGGGTGACGAGGCGAGCCGGATAGAGGTGGCCTGGAGCAAAACAGCCACCGAGAGAGCGGCGGGTGAGGCCCATGCGCGGAGGAAGCCGCAGACGAGGGTGGCGCGTGAGGCAGAGATAGAGGAAGCGAACACTGGGGTTGGGTCGTGCTCCTCAAGGCGAGTCAAACCCAAGTGTCAGAGAGGAAAAAGGTGCTGGAGAAGACATCACTGGTGGCGGACGGCGGTGAACGGCGATTAATGCCAAAAAAAAACAGAGACAGGCAGAGCGGGATGAACCCGTTCTGATACCAACTTGAAGTAGAAAAAAGAAAATAAAGAACTGATTTTGAGAGTCTGAAATCATCTTCTTGTGTTCTCTTATTTATAAGAGATAAAAATACAGATTCAGAGATACAATTAATAGAGAGACATGATTAATCCTAGAGAAGATAAACAGATGCATTCTAGGAACTAGGTCTACAACTAATCTCATAAATGTCCAACAAGATACACTTAATCTAATAAATACTTCAACAATTACTGTTAGAATGTTGCTTCTATTGCAACCTTACATCATGCTTGTACTTGGCTTATTGGTGTTCAAAACAACTATCAATCAGAATCTTATTGAGTTCTTTTTGAAAAAAGATGATTTTACCCTAAATTCAGTTTAAATGAAACACATCCAGCATATTCCTTAACATTGGCATTCACCCAGTATAATAAGCACTAAAATGTAGGACCTTAAAACTGTTAAAGATTGTCAAAGTTGTAGACTAGGAAGAAAGAAACATAAAATGTTATGTATAATATATTTGAGAACGTGTGCATATGTAAACTACCACATACAGCATAAAAACAGTAAAATCTCAATCTCGTCTCATGTATATACATATATACACATAAGTTCACTTACTCCAAGAGTAGGTAAAAGAAAGTTACTCCTTGTTCTCATTATTCATTTCTTTGTAATATAATGATCTAACATAGTAACTCATCTTAACCATTAGATTACAAGAAAATAAATAGTGTGGATGAAGAGTGACTTCTTTATACTTATTCTTGAAATAAGAGGATCTCTCTCTCTCTCTCTCACTCTCTCTCTCTCTCTCTCTATATATATATATATATATATATATGCATTCAATAGTTCACAAAACGTTTTGACATGTTTTTGTATTGTGATAATACCTTTTTATGTCATCCCTGTATTAGGTTGATAAGGCTTTACAAAGTATGGAGGAAGAAGCTGAACGTATTTACAAGGATGAACGTGGTTTGCTTCTTGACGATGAAGCTGCATCTACAAGAGATGCAATGTGAGTTCTGAATCATCATAATATGTTGACTGATTATTATCTGGATGGATTCAGTGGTTTGATTTTATAGATTCTAAACTTGAAGTTTTCAACCCTGTCTTTGCAATATTGAATCCAAATCACCATTTCAATCTGGTTTCTCTAGTGAAATGATTTTGCATCACCCGAAACAGTGGATTGAATATTGAAGTTCTTATTAGATCATCTGTAATTTTATTGCACATGTTCAGTATGGTTGGTGGTTTGGAATGGACAGAGATTTGCATCACCTGAACTCCATAGTAAATAAAAAATTACATATGAATTAAGTTTTCCCCTTTTCACGTTCATGAAGATCATCTGATTTAGTAGGGTATTTCAACTCCTTTCCACTTTAACATAACTGCTGAGGCTTTCTATCATTTTTTCTTTCTAATACCTTCATTTGTAGGTATGAGCAATCTGAATTGATTGAAAGGGACCTTGAGCAGATGACTGAACAAATCAAATCGGTTATCCAATCCCTTAATTCAAACCAGGTACTGTTGTTAGTTGCCATTTCATTCTATTATTAGAGCAAGAAATTTTGCTTACAATGATGTTTTCTTCAGGGTGGAGAACTTGATAGCCTTGATGGAATGACTCCATTAGACGCAGTTGTTCGAATTCTAAATAATCAACTAACCTCTCTGATGTGGATTGATGAAAAGGTTTGTATTTTTCATTGTGCTATTTTATTTGGTATACTGAAAAGATTAACTTGCTTCTAAGCTATAAATTCTTTTACTTTCTTATCTAGTCTAGTTTTATTTTTCTCTATTTTTACTTTCTAACTAGTCTACCCATATTCTTCAAGGTCTAGGTGTATTTTTTACTCTCTATCTTTTGCTTTGTCTGAACCTGTTCTGTAATGCTAGTTGTTAGAAATATGGAAACCATCAATTAGCAAGGAACATTGAAGTTTTTTCAGAATGCTGCTGATCCTTACATTTCCATCCGTAATTAGTTTTCTAGTCTCGTAGGTTTGTTGAATTTTTCCCTCTTTTGAGAGAATTGAAAAAGGGATGTTTCAAAGTTATTGGGGTTCTCTGAAAATTTGTGTTGTGTCCCTTTCTGTAGGTTTTTCCCATGAGATGGGAGGGATTTGAAGATGTCTGCATAGTGCATACATCATTCATTTTGTTTTTTGCATTTCTTTTTCAAATTCTGACTTTGATCAATCCACTTCACTTCAGGCTGAGGAATTTTCTTCCCGTATTCAGAAGCTAGCTAACCAAGGTTCTGCTTCAGATCGTGAACTGACGGGTCCAGGAATCTGGATGTCTTGATGTTTCAAAATGTACAGTATATCGACATTTTCAAAATGCCACACCCAGAAGATTTTTTTTTTGTATGAAGTGACTATTTTTGTATTACATTTCTCCCCAAAGAATGCGATGAACTGTTTCAGAATTATTATCGCCAATTTTTCTTTTGAATTCCCAATACTACTTCTATACTTATTTAAATTGAAAAGGCTATCATTATGAAATATTGAGAAGCCTTAATGGTAACGAATGAAATGTTAATTTTAAAGCAGCAACCTTCAACTATGAAAATGCTTTATATTTGTAGTGATTTCTTTTAGGTACTGCTATGAAATTGGAGAGATGGAAATAAAGCAGTTGGGTTGGATGGGGTATTGAAGCAACTCTTCACATTAAGTCCTAGAAAAATGCCAACTAACAGTTCAAGTGAAAAAAAAAACTGAACAATTTTTAAATCCCAATTAAAAGTGTTTGGGTGAAAAGAATAAGAAAAAAGTGGGTCAAATGTTTTGATGAGTTTAAATATACGAGAATAAGTTCAACAAACTTTTTTAGTCAATTAAAAATATCAAACGTATAAAAAGTTTAGATTTCAATTTTTATGACAACTGGTAATTTGGTGATTTAAAAAAAGTGTAAATAAGCACAATACATTATATTAGAATATACATCAATAGTCTGGTAAATTTATTTTTAAATATTATGCTGTATATTACACTCAACTTAAGATAGGTTTAAAGAAGTTACTTAAGTATTTTTCTAATTATATTATGTATAAGTTAATTTTTAAAAATTATCTTATGTTTATTTTTTAATTTTAATTTTGTATAAATTTTAAGCTTATCAGTTCATTTTAAAAAAAATTGCCAAATTATATTTATAGACCAATTAGTTGATCTGAAAACTTCTAGTATAACGAATTTGAATAATTTATTCGATTCAATATTATCAATTTGATGTTAGTTCAACGGTAACTCAGTTTAAATTGATCAATATTAAAAAATAAGTCACCTAACAATTTAATATTATATTAAGATTTTTTTTTATTGATGATAGAGAATGAATTGAACTAATATTAAAATATCACTAAGAGATATTTTATAATAAAATCGAGAAAAAATCGCATTTCTATAATCTTAATAGTTTTTCAAGAAACATTTTATATATATATATATATATATATATATATATATATATATATATATATATATATATATATATATATATTCTTTGATTGAAGTGCTACTCATAGTGGGAAGAAAACAGAGTAATTTATGATTTATGTAAGGATGAAATTTGTAACATAAGAATTTTATAATGATTTGACAGTGTTGTTCCATCAAATATATTACGATTTGTAAATATCACAATTGATCTGCTATTTTATGTTATTTTTTATTCTACAAATTAAAATTGATTCCTTTCATTTCATCCTCTACATATCAACCCAAACATAACCTTAAAAAATATAAGACTAGGGACACAACACAATTAATTTGTTTTGATAAATTAAAATTATCTTACATATAAACTAAGTCGTAAAAACTATAACTTTTCTAAATTTTTAATTCATACATAAAATAATTTAAATTTATAGAGGAATTTAGTTTTTTTTTTCTAAAAATTTTAGGAGAATTTTTTCTGCACAGTCCAAAATCACCATGTCATGTTCTAGTTTGTGTGTAAATCTATTTTATCTAGTTGGGGATTTGGGTGAGAGGGTAATGCTTCTCTGCATTCTTTAAGATAGTTAAGTGATTCTATTCTCTCTGCATTCCTTTTTATGGATGAGCTTTTTTGGTATTTATCAATGTATTAAATTAATTTGTGTTTCTGTTAGTTAAAGTTAAGAATAAATATATTTGACATTAACAAAATAAAAAAAAAAAGGTGATAATGTAAAGGTATAAATATTTTACATCTCTTTTTTCCTAACATTATAAGATATATAAACCAACATAGTAATGGTATGATATTTTTTGAATTATATTATTTTTATTTTAAAACATAAGTACAAAAATTTTAAGATATTATAAAAGGTTAACATAAAAATATATGTTCATTTTTATTGATAGTTTTAACCACATTGTATTCAAATACTTAAATAACATATTTAATAATTATATGCATCATATAAGGATTAAAAATATGACCACTTAAACCATAATATTAAATGTACATGAAAATTAGTTATAAATAACTTGATTGTGTTTTTGTGTTTCACATCCTGAAAATTATATATATATATATATATATATATATATATATATATATATATATATATATATATATATATATATATATATATATATATATATATATATATATATATATATATATATATATATATATAAGATGCTGTTTAAATTTGATTTATTGTTAATATGTACATTTAACAAAATTAAAGTTTGTTTAATGTATGATAGATAGATTGAATAAGCCTTCAGTTTATGATTATTTTAAGTACCTATTTAAATTTTATGCTTTTAATCTTTGTATTTAACAAAAACAAACCCTTTTTTTATAATAGATTGATAAGGCTTCACTTAAAATCTGATAAATGTATTATTTACCCGTGTGTCATTCGGGTAACACACTAGTTGCTAAACATATGTACTGTGAAATCAGATAGAAGTAGGAGCTGATATAAAAATTTTAAATATAATTTTATACTGATGAAAGGGGTAACATAACCTTCTAAAAGTTTGCACATGAATCATGTATAATAAATCTACAAGTGATAGTCTAGTCTTTCCATATCCATACTGCATAAACTAAAACCTTTGAGATCGAGCCACAATTACAATCAAGAGGATTACTATGGAGAGAAGGAATGATGACCTAACTTTTTCATCCATCTCTGTTGCATCTGATGTAGCATTTTCCATCTTAGGGGATTGAAATAAATCATTCACAAGTAACTGGAAACTTTCTATCAGTTCCAATATCTTTCTCTTTATGATATCCAATGTCCAACTGAGTATATGCATGCCGAATTCATTCAGTTCAGAAATCTCAGGCCTTCTACACTCAACTGATCACATAATACAGAGTGAAATGAGTCAAGAAGTTGAATAGAATGTATCAGAAAATACTATCTAACATCCCTTGACGTTATACACTTTGGGAGTAAAGAGAGAAATGTAAAGGGGGAAAGAGAGAAGAGGGGTTTAAGTTGGATTGAACATAATGGTGTGAATAATAAACAAGGGCTGCTCAACACCTCATTTTGTTGATTTTGGTAAAAGGGTCTAGTTCTTGTTGTAGGTTTCTTTCCTTCTTTCATAACACTAGATCAATGGTATATGAAGCACCCATTACTAGTTATACCTCTACCTCTTTTCTTCTCTTTATTTTGTTTAAGGGGGGTGTTCATTTAATTTTGTACTTTCACTTTTCACAAAATACACACAAACAAACCTGAATCAGGCAACTGTAGCAGCTTTTGATGCAGCACATTGCTCATGAAAGCATCCCAAAGAGCTTTATCAGATGATAATGATACTACTAAGCTCTACAAGGTTATAGTAACAAACACATTCAAATTGTAGAGAACTAAACAATAACAACAACAAAATTCCTAGAAGATTTTAAATAATAATAGCAGGAATGATCATCTAGAAAGTTCCACAGATATAGAATTAAATTAGGGATAACAATTTTAATAACAAGAATCCCCTAACAGAGTTTAGTAACCATAGCATAACAGACGAAATTCAGACACATGGTAAATTATTTGCTTCCAAAATACAAAACAAAGCATATGTCATCCAAAACAACATACATCACTATAAAAAGAGAGTTTTTCATAATTTCAGTTTTTACCCCTAATCATGGATTGCTATGATTTAATGTGAGAAATGGAAAATACTTCTGCAGTGTTTTTAAACACTAAGTCAAGAGTGAACCTTCACAACAGGATCAGATTGTAGCAACTGAAAAGCATCATATAGTCTTTTATATCCCCGAGATATAACTGTCATCGAATCATATGGTCCTGAGATATGCTGAAATGCCTGTATAAATCTGACACAATTTTGAAAAGGATTGTTCAAGCAAGTTGTCATAGCTTGCAAAAAATTCTTACGTACCCAACAATTGTAAAATGTAAACAATTAACTTGATCCTAAAACAACTAGTGTGCAGTAAAGTAGTAAAATAGACAGAGTCGAACTATGAGTAACAAGAAATGATGCAGCTTTGGGATAAGAAAACATGGGTTTGGGATTAAGAAATATGGGTAAACGACGGTGACAATATATTCATTAAAAGAATAAGAAATCTAGTTTAGTTCTACAAAGTGTAAAAAATGGAACAATTTAACAATAAACTAGTCTCTAAACTTAACTTCATTTTCAAGGGGTGTATCTCACTTGAGCAGGTGCAAGAGTTTTAGTGTCAAATTATTACTTAACCATTAAATCTCAATAACAAAATTATCCTAACGGCAAAACATAATTGTGGCACCAGACATCAAATAAGAAATTTCCTTTAACACAAGCTAAATTATGTTGGTTTACACATTTAAAAAGATAATTTAATCTAAAAAATATATTCCTTACTGTAACTGTAAAATTGAGTAAAAAAATAATTTACCTTTACAATTTCATTGAATTATCTTTAAAGGATATCAAGTAATTAACAACATAAGATGTCAGAAGAAATTAGGAAGTAAACTAGAACTCACTCTTGAAGGGCTGATACTGCATCTTCAACTTCCCGTTGAGATGGAACTGGTTGTTCCGTGCAAAGTTGATTATTACAGTGACAGATGCTGCAAGATAAGGTGTTTGTAGTTGAAAGTGGAGGCTTAAGATTGGGAACAACGGTTGCAGAAGATGAAGATGAAGAAGAATACAAGTTGTTGAGAACGCTCTTGCACTGAGAAGGCACAGATTGGTTGGTATGCATGATGGTTCCTCCTCCCATGGATGATTCAATCGTTACTCTGCTTCTTCTTCCTTAAAATCTTCCACTATGAGTGGATATGAGATAAGATGCATGGACCATTATTGAGTGGGCTTGTGGGCCCATTCAACCGGAAGGTACAGGAAGTAATTACAGGAGTGCAAAAAGAAATTACCTTTTAAGGTATATAAAGCCTTTTGAATAGAAAGGGAGAAGGGAATGTTGTAAAGGATAAATATAATAAATAAAAATATGAATAGGTACATACAGTTTTTACTTTTAGCTTCTTCGTTGGACTATTGGATATTGGTTTCAATCCAACAACTAAGCTCAAAAGAGCTTAAAATTTTCGTAAAATAAAATGATTAAAAAATAGTCCAAATTTTATCATAAAATCATAAAAGAATTAGAGTGACATATGAGATGGATGATTTTAGAAATTAGAGTTTAGGGTTCATTTGTAATTTTAGACCATTTAGAAAATGTTTAGTACGTATCTTCTAATAAAAAAAATTCATTATTGAAAAAAAGTAATATTTTATATAAAACTTGTGACCTTACGATTTATTTATTTGATATTTACCTCCACATATTTATATCTTTGATCCGTGGCTACACATATAATGCATGGTCCATTGCCATTATATGTTTTCTTTCTTCTTTTTTCACCATTTCCCACCATTGGTGGTATATTGATTCTACAGTCTATGTATTGATTATAGAGGGTGTTTTCAGAAGGAGAAAAAGAAGAAGATTAGTTTGAATTTGGAAGATGAAACTCTTATTTCTAGTCCTAGGAATGTTTTTTGTTTCTTCACCTTGTGTGTGGGGTAGAATGGAACCTGATGCAGGTCCAAGATTCAATGTCATTGACTATGGTGCCATGGGCAATGGTGAAGCTGATGATTCCCAAGTATGTTTCTCACTTTTCTTTTCTTCCAGAAATTGCATGAGATTTCACATTTCTCCTTTCAAAAAATTTACTCACCAACTTAGTTTTTAAAGATCTAATTAAATCATCACCATATGATAATGTTAATTCTGGAAAGATTTTATCCCTAAACTAATTTTTGAAAAAATCGTCGTTACATTATTTTCCATTTTTTTAACCTCTTAAATTTAATACTTAAAAATTAAGAGACCAAATTCTTTTTTATCCCTAATAAAATACTTTTTTATTTACAAGACCAAATTCAAATTAATGCCAAATTTGAGGAGTAAAACCATAATTTTTTTTAATGTGTCCTCCTTTTTTATAATTCTTTGAATATGTACTTTCGCATCAGGATATTGACTATTGATCTTGGGGTCAAATAATATATTATTAATAAATAATAAATAAATATAAAAGAAAAAAAGAAGATGAAAATGTAAAAGAATAAAAATGTAGATATATACTTTAGAGTTACGGTCCTTTTTAGTTCCTAAGAAGATCCGCCACTGTTGTGTAATTTCTCTTATTGTTTTAACAGATACAACATTATGTTTTATGTTTAATTTTTCTTGTATGTTTTAATTTCTAGCTTTAATGATGTTTAAGGACATTTTGAAGATAATTATTTTTAATGAATAGAAATTGTCTTTTCGCTTGGTATTCTAAGACAACCATCTTCAATGGAATTTGTAATTACCTGGCTTTTGACCCTCACTTGTGTTAGTTATGATTAGTATTATATTTATTTTCAATTAAACAACAATCGTTAAAATATATTCGACTAATTTAATGTAAAGCAAATTGGAATTACCGTTTACTTAATTAGTTAGAGCCAAAAGCCTTTTACAAAACATTCCAAGTTGATTTTATTTTTTTATATGATTTCTTAACTTTTGAATACTTGGAAAATGACCTTATGTTTTTTTACCTTATTAAATATGATTTTACATTATTCCATTTGTTAAATTGTAAAGGCTTTTCTAAAAGCATGGAAAGAAGCATGTAATGCAAGTTATGGCACCCCAACACTTCTCATACCCAGAGACAAAACTTTCATGTTACAGCCTCTCTTGTTCAGTGGTCCCTGCAAGCCACCAACACTTCACATTAAGGTAAATGGTATTTTTAATATATTTCATGTTTTATATTCTTTCTTTCTTTTTTTTTTTACAAAAACATGAAGTATTTTTAATTTAAAATCAAATATTAAAAGGATAAGAAGAATTTTCAAACTATTAATTGTTTGTTTATTATAATTTTAAAACTGCAATTTTAATCCATTTTATATATAAAATAAGTGTCCATTTTGTATAAGTAAAATTATGTAAAAAATATTTTTCAATTAAAAACTATATTATAATTATTCAAATTTCCAATAAACAAATATTTTATCATATAAATTATATTATAATTTTTACCATAAATAATGTTAATATATATATATTTTTAATTATTAACATATTAAAAAATAAAATTTAAAATGAGAAATTGAAGTTAAGAACGTATACAGAAGAGATAAAATAATAATAATAGCTTGAAAAGGTTGAGAAAACAAAAATATGCTTGTTATTAAAATCAAAGTAAATTTGAAACTTAAATTAATATTTGAAAACAATAAAAGTTAAAAACATTTTTTTTAAGGTATAAGATCAAAATAAGGCAAGCAACTTGATGAGGGTGAAAATATGTTGACCATATTCTTACCTAAAACACGTCTACTCAATAATAGATTCTAAAAGTACTCTCATTATGGAAGATATTATTTTTGTTCTCAAATTTTTAAAACAACACCAGTTCAAACTGACCTGTAATAAGGTCATTCTGTAAAAGTTCTTATTTATGAACATTACTATTATTAATATATTATTCAAAATTGGTCGTATAGTATCCAAGAAATATTGGAGAATGAGATGGTGATTTTGAAATTGCTATACCTTATTCTTGAAACAATGAATATATGTGTTACTTGTATTGGGTTGGTAGCTGAAGGGAACCATTACTGCCCCAAACAACATCAAGGATTGGAAATTGGCAAAAAGTAGTAGGAAAGCATGGATCCGTTTCAGGAGCATAAATGGTCTTGTTATTCGTGGAGGGGGACAAATCAATGGCCAAGGTGCTCCATGGTGGAATGCCTATTTCAATACTGAAATTTACAGACCAACGGTACGTAAGTTGGAAAAAACACACTAAATGAATGTTTTCATTCAGAGTTTTAATTGATATCATATATGTTTGCATGCAGGCTCTTCATTTCCGTGAATGCAACAATCTATTCCTTAGCGGATTGACTCACATCAACAGTCCCAAAAATCATGTAAGCATAAATAGATGCAATGGATCGCTCATCTCCAAACTTCATTTCATCGCACCAGATCAAAGTCCAAACACTGACGGGATTGATATCTCCTATTCATCCAACATTCTCATCAAGAATTCTAAGATGGAAACTGGTAACTGTCATGTTTGAATTTATTTTCTTGATTTTTTAAGCATGACATAGTTTATCATAGAATTAATAATGAATTTGGCTAATGAGAATTTATATTGTTTAATAAAAGGTGATGACTGCATTGCCATTAACCATGGATCCACCTTCATCAGCATAATTGGTGTTTTTTGTGGACCTGGCCATGGTATCAGGTAAGTCGAAGTAAATTTTCTAGTTTCACATGAATTCAAGTTATTAGGTGAATAGAAATGAAACTATTTTGTATGCTTGGTGAATATGTAGTATTGGAAGCTTAGGAAAAAATGGAGCTCATCAAACAGTGGAAGAGATACATGTACGAAATTGCACCTTCAATAGAACAACAAATGGAGCTAGAATCAAGACATGGATAGTAAGGATAACAGTATGTTGCACTAAATTAAGCAAATTATAAATGAGATTAAACAAAATTTCATGTTTTATGTTCCTTAAATCAGGGAGGTCGAGGATATGCAAGGAAGATTACCTTTAAGGATATTATACTTGTGGAAGCTACAAACCCTGTAATTATTGACCAACAATACAACCCATATGATAGTGGAGATGCCGTGAGAGTGAGTGATGTGAGCTATCACAATGTGAGGGGAACCTCAAGTTCAGCGCATGCAATCAAACTACATTGCGACAAAAACATAGGTTGCACCAACATTGTATTGAAGGGGATTAACATAACTACCAATTCTGGGAAGAAAACTTATGCATCATGCAAAAATGTAAAAGGGGTCTGCTCTTTGTGTAATCCCCATGTGCCATGTCTTTCAAAGTAGTGTGATGAGTTGTTCATTTTGTGTCTCAATATTTGATTTTCTTTTTACATCATACATTTACTAAATTATGAACAACGAAATGTCAGTAGCAAATGCTACATATTTTTATCATTGTAAGGATTAGTACCTAAGTTTGATAATCGATGGTTTATGAACTAAATATTTAATATTGAAAAACATTATTACGAGAACTTGAACTGTGTTACGTTTATGTTTGTATGTAACTTGACTTTACTTTTCCTGTGTGCATTTATGTTTATATGCAATTTGATCTTGACCAATTCTTTCAACTTTTCATTTTTAGATTTGGACATAAAATTAGTTAGGCAAGTTGGTCAATAATTTTTCTACCTTAGTATTTTGAACAATTTGTCGTATGCCTTAACTATTTGTGATAAGTTTTAATACAAAATTGATGTAGCTGATAAAATCATGTTACGTATATTTACATGCAACAAATATATCTGAACACGTAAATCAACTTTTAAAATTTACTCTAGTCACATCATAATTTGTCTAGTCTTATCTTTCTATGAGTCTTATCTTTATCAAATTTATCATTTCCTTCAACATAAATCTTGTGCTCGTTCGGTCAAAATCAAACGTGCACAGCCTTGACTATCAATTCAGAGTACACATGTCCAGCGACAATCTTGACAACCACCTCCTTACTCCTTTCAATGAAAAATTTATTGCAATGTATGTAAGTTGTCATGATCAGGAGGAAATAAAAAGTTTTCTTGTCTATTTCAAACACACAATTGATAAAATATGTTACGATAGTTATTATGTGTCCCTAATATCTTCTATATTGTCTCATCTCATTCAAGTGTCTACTTCTTCCTAAGGAATTCATCCAATCATGATGTTGTCTCCATATTTTCATCAATTACTATATTAAACTATTAGAAGAAACTAAGTTCAATCATTCCTTATGTTGTTAGTACTCGACAAAAACCTTTTTATGTTGGTTATTTTTACATTTTATATTAATTCCCGAATTGACATAGATGCAAGAGACATAGAAAGTCTTCATTTTTTAAATGACATAAAAAAATTACTTTCTACATCAATTACACATCTAACTATCATAAAAAGTTTATGTGAGAGATGAATCTAGTATAGACACTTCCTTTATTAGTTTATTCGACAACCATCATAGAAAGTGATAATTTCCATGACAGTTTTTTATTGAACTGACAGAAAAAGTCTATTTTCTATGATGATTAAGGTAACATTCATCATAGAAAATGTCACTTTCTATAATAGTTGTGATATCACTCATAGAAAGTACACATTTTATATCGATTATTCTTATAATCAATATAAAAAATTATTATTTTTAAAATTAATTTTTTTATTTATATATCCCTACATAATAATAAATATATATTTTTTATATATACTATACTAAATAAATTCATAATATATTTAATAATAACATACAAAATACTTAAAGAAACATTAAATATATATATATATATATATATATATATATATATATATAATGTTACTTAATTTACATTATTCAAAGTTAAAACAATTTATAAATTATAAAAATTATTTAAAAATAAAAAATTCATTGCATTATCATATCTTCTATAACTTTTTCTTTATGAATAATTAAATATCTATAAAATAAACATCATTTAATCAATAAATAATTAAAAATAAAAAAGTAATAAATCAACCTCTTCCACACAACCCAAACATCTTCACAACGAAAAATGTTACATAGACCATATCCCTAATCCTACCATAATTAGCCCAGTAAAACAAAACAAACAAATAAAATAAAAGCATTAATCCACTTTATAGGAAAACTTGCAAGTGTATTGGTTACATCTGACCTATTTTACTATCTTAAGGATTCAAAATTTTTGAATGGGTTTATGACTTCTCAAATAAACTTTTGAATTAAAAAAAATGGTAAATATTTTTAATCCAATGTTAAAATTGAGAAGGATAAAGAAGAATAAAAATTTATTCTCTAACTTAATTTGTGGTAAAATATAGATACAATAAGGGAAATTTGTCAATTTAATTTACTAACGAATACCTTATCTAATTTATATGAAGAATAAAATAAATAAAAAAAATCACGTAGATTTGGAGACTAATGATATACAACCATTTACATAGGACTAATGGCTCTAACTAATAAAGTTTTGTTTTAATGATATAAAATTTTACCATTTACACTTGTAAATCTAAACTCTAATTAAATAATGAATATTAATATATTTTTTATAACATAAATCTTAAAACAACTTCATATATTTAATTAATTACTTTGCAACCAAAATTTCACCCTTGTATACTTAAAATAATTGAGGGATATTTCATTGAAAAAAAAATAATGAATAGATACACTTTTATTAAAATAAGAAAGTTTGTCTATTATAAAGAGGAATGAGAACAAAAATTTTATTGAAAAAAATTGATAAAAATATAGAAAAAGCAAACATTTTCGTCGTCTTATTTATAAATTGAAGATTCACCGTTAACTTAGAGAAAAATATAGAAAATAAAAAAAAGTATATAAAAAATTAAAACGATTTTAACATAAATAAAGAGAGAAACGGCATTATTAATAAAAGTAAAAAAATAAATAAAATAAAAGTATACATAATCAAAATGCCAGTCGAACAAAAAAATAAAATAAAAGCAAATACAATTAAATAAATTAATTAACATTCAAGAGACATATTAGATTAAAAAATAATATAATTTTTTTAAAAGAAAATAATTTTAGATTAAATTACATAATTGATTACAAGTTAGATTTAAAAAATTGTTTGATTTTTGTTATTAAGAATTATATTAGAGTACCTTCCATAGTAAAAAAATAAAAAAATTTGTAGTATTTAATTTAGAAGTTTAATGTATTCTAGTGTAATGTAATTTAAAATTAAGAAAACTAGAATTAGAATATTAAAAAGTGTATTATTTATATACATTATCGTATGAAAAAGAGAACATCTTTACTCAGTGGCATCCATCCATGTTCCAAATTAGAAGAACCCTTTCACTGAGATTAGGGTTTTAGTTATATTTCCGTGGTCAAAACCCAGAAAAAGATATACTAGGCAAAACCCTGCACCAGCCATGGCACGCGTGTCTCGGTCCTCCGCACCGCGCCTCCTCTACGCGCTCTGCTCCTCCTCGTCTCGGTCACCGGCTGCTTTCCTCCTGGGCGGCGCCTTCCAGCTGCGGCAGTTCTCATCCGGTAACGCGGCTCGTGCGAAGGCTGAGAAGGATCCTTGGTGGAAGGAGTCGATGGAGAGGCTCCGAAACATTGGGATCTCGGCGCACATCGACTCCGGGAAGACGACGCTGACGGAACGGGTTCTGTACTACACGGGTCGGATCCACGAAATCCACGAGGTGAGGGGCAGGGACGGCGTTGGCGCTAAGATGGACTCCATGGATTTGGAGAGGGAGAAGGGAATCACCATTCAGTCTGCTGCCACCTACTGCACTTGGAAGGACTATAAGGTTTGACTTTGTTGCTGTAAACGTCACCTACCGCACTTGGAAGTAGTTAAATAAAGTTGGGAGAGTTTTTTATGCTAGTTGAGTTCTAATTGAATTGAATTGGATTAAATTTTGAAGTTGTGGTAGTGAGGTTTTAAAGAAATAGGACGAATAGGGACTACATGGGGGATGAGCTTTTCCATAAGGACTTCTAGAGGAGAAAAATACGAAGAAAAAAGTTAAAATTAGCTTTACTAAAGTTAAAATTATTAATGGAAAAGTTAGGCCAATCAGACCCTAAGTAATGTTGTATTTTTGTGCCGTGTCTATTGAATGGAAGAGATATATATTTTTTTTTTAAATTAGAATGCACATACAGTGCACAAATATTTAGACTGTCATATTGTATAACGGTTTTGACTTTTACAATAGCTAATGGTTTAAGATTTCTGATTGGTTGAAAGAGTGAAACAACCGTTATAGTGACAATGTGCAAAATTTAAGTATTTTTTTTTATTTGCAACAAAATTGGAAAGTTGAAGAGTTTGTGACGTTAGTTGAGTTCAAATTGAATTGAATTTTGAACTAATGGGAATCAAGATAAATATAAGGTTGAATTAAGATTTGCCTATTTGAATGCTGCTCTTGGTACTAATTTATTCTCAATATTGATTATTATGATTAATTATCAAGTTGTAATAAATATTTAAGGTGGTGGTAGTGAGGTTTTGAAGTAACAGGAATCACGGGGGAGTGTACTATGAATGTTTCTCTGTTTTTGAGGTAGAGTTTGAAATTTGAGCGTTGTTGTTATCAGTGTTAGTCCGGTTCTGATTATTGATTAATTATGAAAGATAAAAGATTGAAGAGTTACTCTGTCTCTGGTCATGCATAACTGAAAATAGTGAAAAATACATAACTGTGCCAAACCAAAGCATATTGATGGACAGCTTGTTTTTCTTGCTTGTAGTATGCCTAAAAGGTAAATGGATATATTGTTCTAGCCATTTGAGAAAATGTCTTTTGTCTCGCAGATTAACATTATTGATACACCTGGTCATGTTGATTTTACCATTGAGGTTGAGAGGGCTTTGCGTGTCCTTGATGGTGCCATTCTGGTTCTTTGTAGTGTTGGTGGAGTGCAAAGTCAGTCCATTACTGTTGATCGGCAAATGAGAAGATATGATGTTCCAAGACTTGCATTTATAAACAAACTTGATCGCATGGGAGCAGATCCATGGAAAGTGTTAAATCAGGTGTATATGAGATTTATGGAAGTCATAGTAGACAAAACTATCATAGTTTATGTCCCATGTACACAATTTTAGTTATTCCCCTCTCACTGCTCCAGTGGCATTTGAGAAAGTGGTTGTTTTGTTAAAGTTGATTTTCAGACTCTGTTTCTTTATAAAATTTGGTCATTATTAAAAATCATCTGTGATTCTGTTTTTGTACGCAGAACCTATCCTATCTTAATATTGATTTTGGCATTAGGCAAGCCATAAACTGTTTAATTTAATTTTATGATTTATTGACCTCTAGTATTTATTTTATATTAACCCTGTGCATTTTAAAAATTCTCTCTGGCTTATTTTGAATTAAAATTGTTTCCTTTCTGAAACCTTTTTTATTTATTTTTTTTGTTTTTCAGGCTAGATCTAAGCTTCGACATCATAGTGCTGCAATGCAAGTTCCAATAGGTTTGGAAGAGGATTTTAAAGGACTTGTTGATCTTGTGCAGTTAAAGGCCTACTATTTTCATGGTTCAAGTGGGTATGTTTCAAATCCTTCTACACATTTTGTTCCTATAATGAAGGCTCCTCTGGCATTATTCTTTTAGTTACACATTGCTTCATATTGCAGTGAAAAAGTTGTCACTGAAGACATTCCTGCAGATATGGAAGCATTGGTGGCAGAAAAAAGGCGAGAACTTATAGAAACTGTGTCAGAAGTTGATGATAAACTTGCGGAAGCTTTTCTTGGTGATGAGACCATATCATCTTCTGATCTTGAGGTTTGTAGGACATTTTTTTTTTCCAAGTATGTTTGTTAAGTATTTGATTTGTTGGGTGGCATGGTTCTATTCATTCTACTAAGTTCTAACAGTTAGTTTCTTGGCCTATTGTCTGAATATATGGAGGAACTTATAGTTTGAGCATCCTAGCTGTGCATAAAAAAAACATGCATATATATCTGCTAGCTTGTGATGGAGAAAAGGCATTATTTTGAAAGAAAATCTATTCACACAGTCCCTATTTTCCCTTGATTCATTTATCAATGACATAGCTTTCTGTGGTTTCATCTGAAAATCATAAGAGCTAATTAACATTAATTGCCTGAGTCAGTAACAGCTAATACCACTCATATACATGTCCTTAAATCTGAATTTTAGATCTAACAACTATATGTAATATATATATTTCTCCTCGGCCAAATTTTGGTCATTTGGTCAAGACAATGTATGTGGGAAATAAAAAATTTTAAATCTAGGAAGTTAAATAAAATTATAATATGTTGATATTGGCATTTCAGTTGTTAGACATTATTACAACAAATGTAGAGAAATTGAATTAAATGAAACCCAAAAATATACCCCATTGGTTGTGTAACTATGTAGAGATGGAAGTCATACAATTGATCATATCGATTAGATATTTAGATAAGATATTTAAGTAATAGATTAAGTGTGTATAAATTATTTACCATTCAAATCTATATGGTAGAAATAGAGTCAGGGAGAACGCGTACAAGTTGTGTCATTCTTGCAGCCTAGCTGAGACATGCAGCCATTCTCACTTACGTCTTACAATTTTTCCCCTAACACATTTCTCAAAGTCAAAATATTATAAAATTAAAATATTATTTTTCTTTAATTTATTATTTATTTTTACAATTAATTATAAATGCTTCAATTTTTAGTTGTTGTAGAATTATTAATTGTTACACACATTATAAATTTTTAAACTTGTCACTTAATTCATTTTATCCTACATCTCTCTCTTTCTCTCTTTCCCCATATATATATGTGTGTGTGTGTGTGTGTGTGTGTGTGTATGTGTGTGTGGGTGGGTGTGTGGGTGTATTACAAAATATTTAGGGTCTTACAAATATCACGTAGTAGCTCCTATCCCTGACATCCTCCCTCAACATTTTATTTTTGAAAAGTTAAATTATTGTTAATCATTATTTTCTTATGAATAGGAAGCAGTTCGTAGGGCTACCATAGCGCAGAAATTTATACCAGTATTCATGGGTAGTGCTTTCAAAAATAAGGTAACGATTGAATTACTTTCAATTTGTCTTTTCTTCCGGTTTAAAATGAAGGAAACAATTACTTTCGATTGATGCGTAGTCATTACCTGCTTTATTCCCTCCCCTTTGTCTTGTCGGTGCAGTGTTATTTTTTTCCGTGAGTTGACTTATTGTTGTGATTTTGGTGTAATGTAGTTTGGGTCTGTCAAATATGTTATGTTTGTAATTGAGGACTGTTTGGGAAAACAACTTAATTAAGTGCTTATTGAATAAGTGCATATCGTATAATATGTTGTTTATGTAATTGTAAAGGAAATATAGTATAACTAAGTTGTAAGTTGTTTCCATAAACTATCTGAATAGATTATTGAAATAAGCTAAAAACAACTTTTTGACATATCATAAGCTATTTTTATATGTTTTTCATAACACTTACGCTAATACTTATGTTGCAAGTTCAAATAAGTTGTAACTAAGCTCTTTCAAATGCACACTGAATCCATTTGTAGCAGTCTGCCTGCAACTTAGTGATGCACCCAACTGCCAATGATGGCTTAGTGTGTGTATCTATGACCCATTCATAAATGTCATGCCACACTGGGCTTTTTTGGGTCTGGTTACATTTCCGACCAAGGCCTAACTTAAATTCTAAATACCTTATGACCTTAATCAATAATAGTGTTAGTTTTTAAATTAGCTATTATATAGATCATTCCCTTGCTGTGGTTATGTAGTGGAGTTTTTTTACATGTGTAGTCACATTATCCTCCTATCGTCTGAAATTCTCTGATCGCCTATATATTACTTAGTTTTTTTTTTCTCTTTTTTTTTTGTTTTGTTTTCTTTGTGATGGCTTTGTTCCAGAAATTCTCTGATATTATTTGTTTGTTTACATTGGTTAGTATTTCCTGCTTTGCATTTAGCTCTGCTAACTCAATTACAATGTTGCTTGCATTGCCCTCTTATTATATAACATAACTAGTATCCTGTATGCTTTCTGAAATTGATGCACGATAATGATTGTGTCAATGATGAATATTGTCATCATCTATGCTTCCAGGAAGTGACCTTGCGCTCAATTCTCCATTCTCAGCCCCTCAACTATCCTCTTGTATATGCATGCGATTTAGATTTGAACATTCACCATTTCATCATACTCATTCCTTGTTCATTACCTTCTATATCATTTTTAATCTTCTGTTGCTGATACAGGGGGTACAACCACTTCTAGATGGTGTAATTAGCTATTTGCCATGTCCAATTGAAGTTAGTAATTATGCCCTTGACCAAACTAAGAATGAGGACAAGGTAGGTACCTGATTCATTGAAGTTGTTCTGTCTTACTTTAATAGTAGCTATATATTGCATTTTAAGTTTTGAATAGAAAGGCCATATTTTTTAATCATGAATTATAGATGTACTATTAAAATGATAAAAATTGCTTTGAACGTGTTCTACATAATGAAACATAACTCCATTCAAATAGTAAAAAAGTATCAATACTAAACTTAATAATGCATCCATTGTAATATTGTTTGTAGCCATTAAGAAATGCAAACCAAAATTGACATAACCGAGATTTAATCATGATAATATTCAAATTGCTTTATAATTGGAAAATATAACTCAATACTTTCTAAAAGAAGACTAAATTAGAAATGTTTAAGATCCTCTTGATAAAAAAAATTATAAAATAAGGTTTTTGATTTCAGGATAGAGTTGGTTATGGTAACAAGGTTGACTGTATATGATCTTGGAGCGAGTTTAAAATTGATACAAACAAGTTTTACATTCAGGTTGTGCCAAATCTCACCTAACTCTTCTTAGAGTTAGAGGATATAGTTTTCATATTGACAACTGTGTAGCTGAACAGAAAAGCGACTAACTGAACAAGTGTCAAGTGATAGCCGTGTGTAACTAACTAAATGAATATCCACCGAAAAGATTGTTGGAGAACTTCTCTTTATACTATATACTCATGCTCTGGTCATTTGTGTAACTTGTATGTATTCCTTTCAAACAATCAATCATAGTGATTTGTGATATGCCTGCATGGTTCAGTTACTGTTGTTTGTCTTGCTAGTTAGAGTTATTGTAATTTCTATTCTCATTTAGGTTGAGTTGCCTGGAAGTCCTGATGGGCCACTTGTGGCATTGGCTTTCAAGTTGGAGGAAGGGCGGTTTGGTCAGTTAACATATCTAAGGTACTTGTAACCTTAGGATGCTGTTAATCCATTTCAAACTGTTTCTCAGCAGATCTTCTGTTTTGAATTTGTGTTAACCTACTTTATACCCAAGTTAATTGTTCTTTTTTTTTTTTTGGCTGAAGAATATATGAGGGTGTAATTCGGAAGGGTGATTTTATTATTAATGTAAACACCGGCAAGAAGATCAAGGTAATTTTATAGCTCTTCACTGTTGTAGTTTGAACGTATTAAGTCTTGTTTTTGTGAGTGTTTTGCATTGTGGACCTGTGATTCTTTGTGTCTATGTTCTATATTCATGTTTTGTTTTTTCTCTTGTTTATTTATGTTAGAATAGATTAGAAAATATATGTAATCATTATACCTAAGGTAGGGAGGGGATTGAGTGTTAGATAATCTCTGCACCTAGTTCTGAGGAGTAGTCTAGGACTGTGTATTTAATGTAATCTCCCTATTGTATTAGTTTTTATCTATATAAATAGAGAATCATGAGAGGGGTTCTTCAGGCTCTCTAAAAACACTTTTTCTCTGTTTTGAATATCAAGTTGGTATCAGAGTAGGTTGATCCCGCTCTGCCTATCTCTGTAGTCTCCGACACTATTTTTGCCGCCGTCCGTCGCCGCCATCTCCGCAGCCGACCACCGTCTCCAGTCACCCAGTTTTCGCCGGCGACCATTGGATCTGAATAAACTCGCCGTGCGACAGCCAACCTTGCCGGTCCCGAAAGCTTGTTCGCCTTCACATGCTGCCTTTTATGTGTCGGAACGTTTCCGCGCCGCCTCTGTTAGGATTGCCGGAGCTTCCTCTCCCTGTTCTGACCCTCAGAACTTCATTTCGGTGAAGTCCAATAGCCACCCTTGCGAAAATACTCTTGGGCTTTCGACTTTCCTTGCTGTTTTTGCACCCCCTCACTAGTTTTTCTCATCTTGATCAGAAATGGCTGCAATTTCATTCTCTGGAAGCCCCTCCATTACTTCCGAAAAGCTAAACGGACAAAATTATCTATCTTGGTCTGTTGCCGTCAAAATGTGGTTTATCGGTCAGGGACATCACGACCACCTTGAAAAAGATGGAAGCCATGTACCGGAAGAAAAAACTGAACAGTGGAAACAGGTAGGTTTTCAGCTATGTGCTCTATTGTGGCAATCGGTGAAACCAAGACTTTTGATGTCGCTTAGAGCCTTCAAAACTTGTCACCTTTTTTGGAAGAAAGCTCAAACTATTTATGCTAATGATATCCAACGCTTTTATGATTCCGCAAATAAGCTGGCATCTCTAAAAATGACAGATCATGATATGGTGTCCTTCATGAATGACGCCCAGTCAGTTGTGGAAGAACTAAAGATGTTCTTGGAAGTCGATTCCTTGGATGAAATGAAGAAGAAGCTTGACAAGTATTATTACATGGTAATGATCCTTCGCGCAATACATCCTGACTTTAATCATATCAGAGATAAACTTCTGACCACTCATGAAGTCCCTTCCATGGATACCCTAATCACACGCCTGATTCGTGTACTAGTGCCTGAAACTCAGGAAGCTCTTGCTCTAGTAGAACCATCTGTCATGGTTGTCACAAGAGGAAGAGGAGGACGTGGCACTAGAGGAGGAGGATGTTGAGGTCGAGGATGTCCCCAATACACCTACTATAAGAGGATGTGTCACACACAAGAGAACTGTTACTCCTTGCATGGTTTTCCTCCCAAAACCGTCAATGTCTCGAAGGCTGAAACCATTGACTCCAAGTTCACTGAGGACGAATACCAAGAGTATCTACAGTTGAAGTCTAATAGCTTGGCACAGACCTCTCAACCTCCCAGCACATCAACTGCTTGCATTTCTCAATCTGTGGAGGGTCAAAATTCATGGGTAATTGACTCTGGTACTTCTGATTATATATCTGGTAATACCTCCTTGTTCTCAACTATTTCCTTTCAAGAAAAACATTTCATAACCCTTGCAAATGGTTTTAAAGCTTCCTCAAAGGGAGTGGACCAAGTTTCCTTGTCTCCCTCCATAAGCCTAAAATCTGTCCTTTTTGTTCCTAATTGTTTTTTCAATTTAATTTTCTTAAGCCAGTTAACCAAAACCTTAAATTGTTCAATAAACTTCAATAACAAATCTTTTGTTATACAGGAGCATGGTTCGGGGAGACGGATTGGAGAAGGATATGAAGCTGGAGGATTATACCTTTTTGGCCCTCGTCCACGTGTGTCCTGTGTTGCTACTCCGAGCCCTAAAATGTTACATGATCGGCTTGGCCATCCTCATTTGTCAAAATTAAAAAGAATGTGTCTTGAACTAAGTGGTCTCCAGACCTTTTAATGTGAGTCATGTCAACTAGGAAAACATGTTAGATCTACCTTTCCTAAAAGGTCTCAAAGTGTACTTCCAGTTTCTCTATTATCCATTCTAATATTTGGGGACCCAGTCACATCTTATTTTTTGGTTTTTGGTATTTTGTTACATTCATTGATGAATATTCTTGATGTACTTGGGTTTATCTTATAAAAGATTGCTTTGAATTGTTACCCATCTTTACATCCTTTTTGAATGAAATAAAAAATCAATTCGGTCAAGTAATCAAAATTTTAAGAAGTGCAATGCTAAAGAGTACTTCTCATCCACCTTTTCTGCTGTTTTGAGTTCACATGGAATATTGCATCAGTCCACCTGTCCTCATACACCACAACAAAATGGTATAGCAGAAAGAAAAAATAGACATTTAGTTGAAACTGCACGTACCCTTTTGCTGGGTGCCCATATTCCAGTCCATCACTGGGGGATGCCATCTTAACTGCATGTTTTCTTATTAACAGGATGCCATCTTCCTCTTTTTGTAATAAGGTCCCTTTCCCCATTCTATTTCCAAATAATCCTCTCTTTCACACCTCATCGAGTTTTTGGTTGTGTATGTTTTGTTCATGACATGTCTCCAGGGTTAGACAAGCTTTCTGCTCGTGCTATCAAATGTGTCTTCTTGGGTTATTCCCGCCTTCAAAAAGGGTATTGGTGTTACTCTCTTGAAACCAAGAAGTACTTACTACATGTCTGCCAATGTTACATTTTTTGAACAGACTCCTTACTTTTCTCCTTCTGTTCAAGATGTTCATGTCATAGAGTAGGTCCTTCCCATTCCAGTGGTTGAGTCTAATATTTCCAATGTTTTTATCGATCTCAGCCGTGATCCAAGTCTTCCTGAACCATCATAGGACCCCGATGGCTAGTCCTCTTCTCCAAGAAGAGGGTGAATCCCCCACTTTAGATTTTTCTCCAACATCGCTTCCTACCACGACTCCTGGTGAAGGTGATTCAGGATGACCCATTGTTCTCAGAAAAGGTATTCGTTCCACTCGAAACCCATATCCTATTTATAATTTTTTAGCTATCACAGATTGTTGCCTTCCTATTATTCCCTTTTATCCTCAGTATCTTCTATTGCTATTCCAAAAAATATGGAAGAAGCACTTGATCACCCTGGATAGCGACAAGTCATGATTGCAGAAATGCAAGATCTAGACCATAATGCTACTTGGGAGCTCGTGCCCCTTCCATCGGGCAAAAAGGCAGTTGTTTGCCGCTGGGTGTATGCTGTTAAAGTCAGCCCTGACGGTGAAGTTGATCGGCTCAAGGCTCGGTTAGTTGCAAAAGGGTACACTCAGGTTTATGGCCTTGATTATTGTGACACTTTCTCTCTCGTGGCCAAGATGACTACTATTTGTCTGTTCTTCGCAATGACTGCCATTCGTCACTGGCCACTTCATCAATTAGATATCAAAAATGTCTTTTTACATGGTGATCTTGAGGACAAGGTTTACATGGAGCAACCTCTTGGGTTTGTTGCTAAGGAGGAGTCTGGACTGGTATGCAAATTGCATCGCTTTCTATATGACCTCAAGCAATCACCACGTGCTTGGTTTGGAAAATTTAGCTCCATTGTTCAAAAATTTGGGCTAAGATGCAGTGAAGCAGATCATTCAGTCTTTTAATGTCATACATCTCTGGGTAAATGTGTTCACTTAATAGTATATGTTGATGATATAGTCATTACAGAAAATGATACTGTTGGAATAGTTCAACTGAAGGAGTACTTGTGCAGACATTTTCAAACCAAGAATTTGGGAAGCCTAAAATACTTCTTGGGCATTGAAGTAGCTCAATCAAAAGAAAGAGTTGTAATCTCTCAGAGAAAATATGCTCTTGATATATTACAAGAAATAGGTATGATTGACTGTAGATCTGTAGATAGTCCTATGGACCCAAATCAGAAATTAATAACAGGAGAATGTGAAGTATTCTCTGATCCATTACAAGGCCTGATCTATCTTTTGCAGTTGGAGTGGTTAGTCAGTTCATGCAAGCTCCATGTGGTCCATTGGAATGCTATCATTCGCATTCTAAGGTACCTCAAAAAGGCTCCTGGGCAAGAATTGTTATATGAAGATAGAGGAAACATTCAGGTCACTGGGTACTGTGATGCATATTGGACAGGTTCACCTGTTGACAGACAGTCTACTACTGGATATTGTGTCTTCCTTGGAGGAAACATTATTTCATGGAAAAGTAGAAACAAAATGTAGTGACTCGATCGACAGTTGAAGTTGAATATAGAGCAATGACATCACTAACTTGGGAACTTATATGGGTGAAACAGTTCATCCAAGAGCTTAATTTCTGTGATATCCAAACTATGAAGATGTATTGCGATAATCAAGTTGTTCTCCACATTGCATCAAATCCCATGTTTCACGAGAGAACTAAACATATAGAAATTAATTGTCACTTTGTTCGTGAAGAGTTGTTGACAAAAGAAATATGTACCGAGTTTGTTGGATCAAATGACCAACTCGCAAATGTGTTTACCAAGTCCTTAAGGGGACCTTGGATTGAGTTCATTTGTTTCAAGGTGGAGGAAGGGCGGTTTGGTCAGTTAACATATCTAAGGTACTTGTAATCTTAGGATGCTGTTAATCCATTTCAAACTGTTTCTCAGCAGATCTTCTGTTTTGAATTTGTGTTAACCTACTTTATACCCAAGTTAATTGTTCTTTTTTTTTTTGGCTGAAGAATATATGAGGGTGTAATTCGGAAGGGTGATTTTATTATTAATGTAAACACCGGCAAGAAGATCAAGGTAATTTTATAGCTCTTCACTGTTGTAGTTTGAACGTATTAAGTCTTGTTTTTGTGAGTGTTTTGCATTGTGGACCTGTGATTCTTTGTGTCTATGTTCTATATTCATGTTTTGTTTTTTCTCTTGTTTATTTATGTTAGAATAAATTAGAAAATATATGTAATCATTATACCTAAGGTAGGGGGTTGAGTGTTAGATAATCTCTGTACCTAGTTTTGAGGTGTAGTCTAGGACTGTGCATTTAATGTAATTTTCCTATTGTATTAGTTTTTATCTATATAAATAGAGAATCATGAGAGGGGTTTTTCAAGCCCTCTAAAAACACTTTATCTCTGTTTTGAATATCAAGTATTTCCATTCCAAAACAGTGATAACTCCATTCAATATTTTATTGAAGATATTCTTTTGAAGACCATTGCACAATAAGATTAGTTCAATTCTGCATTTCTGTTTGGTTTTTCAATATGAATTTAGCTTCATTTAAATGAAGTCATGTTGTTTATGGTGTTAAATCTTAAAGACTAAGTGCACGCATTCAAACTTTTACTAGATACTGTCATACTAGCCTTATGGACTAATTTTTTATGGAACTCATCCTACACAGAAAGGGTATTTTATTTAATTTAACTACACATCTTACAATGAACTTCCCTTACATGTTCTTGTTGGAGGATGTGGAGTACCTCTCCCACTTTTTCTTGAATTTCTTTTGTCCTTGGAAAACTAAACAGTGCAACAAAGATTGGTCCAAGGTTTAATTTTTATTAGCTAAGTATGAGGCAGGATACTTGATAAAATGCAATACAGTATCTCAGGTGCTGTATCTCCATTCTTGTATTGCATTCCAAGATTATAGTGAGTTTGTGGCTGAATCCTTTCTTTTATCTAATGTAGGTTCCTCGCCTGGTTCGGATGCATTCTGATGAGATGGAGGTTTGTTTTCAGAGTTTCAGTATTCCTATTTTGTAGAATGCCCCTGGAAGAGATTTTATTTATTTTTATTTTAAGGGAGTAAGAGGTAATATAACGTTGCTGATATACTATGATTTAACTTGAACATAAACTGGCGAAGTTTTGTCTCTTGGCTAAATATTTCTTTATAATTTGAATATATTAAGTAATTCTCTGCCATTTTTTAACAATTTCTAATTGTGTTCTCTAACAATCTGCAGGACATTCAAGAGGCTCATGCGGGGCAAATAGTTGCTGTATTTGGTGTTGATTGTGCTTCAGGTTATTCTTTTATCTTTACTCAAACCTATGCAATACTTTAATTTATATTACTCCTGTTTTGTAATTTATTTTTTGCTAGGTGTTTGCCAAAAGTCTTTTGATGGTGGTTTATATATTATCAATTTATCAGTAAAAAAGGGATTATAACTTTTAAGAGAGAATAAATTTTCGCTTGTGAGGCTGAAAAAAATAAAGAACATAAAAAATGCAGCATATGTATGTAAAAGAAGAAAAAGCATAAAATGATTGAAAAATGTTGAAAAACTATGAAGCCTTTCTAGCTTGCCTACTGAAATGAACTATCACACGTTCTCATTCCCTTTAACCATGAATTGATCTCCATTGGATGCCAATGTACTCAATCTCATGGCATTTTAAGGCCAGGATATTTCCATAAAATATTGGTGTTCCTCTTCGTCAAGGTAAAATAGAACCCTTTCCAGATGCCACGTGTAATTTTTTTTTTTAAATTATTTTATTTCAAATAACACTTGTTAAAAGATTCATCTGAAACCTCTTTATTTGTAAAAATAAAATATTGTTCACCCAAACAACTAACTTAAACCATCAAAATGAGACTTAATATCAAGTCTTTCCAGTGCAAACTCAAAATCATTACACTATTATATTATATTTAAAAAGACATTTTCAAATGGCTTAAAAACTTCCAAAAAAAAGTTTCCCCGCGAGCTCCTCACCACTAAGCTTCTTTAACAGTATTTGCATCAATATCTACTCTCGTATAACACAAGTCATACGATCATCGTAGGTAGAAACCAACACCACAAACATACAAGGGTGAACAAACATATATCCCATCATATATCATGCATGTCAACATATAATTCACCTAGCATTATCTTAATGTAACAAAACTCATTCATAATATCCACAAGTACATGTTTTCAACACTACAACAATAACACTTTATCATATTACCACAAAGTAAAAATAGACGGTATAGAATTCTCTCATAGCCAACCCCCATACTTTTCCTGCGCACCAACACCTCTTGGAAAAAGTCTCTTCCCCTACTTTCCATATACTTACTAGCAATAACTCCACCTGGTCGACAAAGCCTTGGATGGAGCACTCTTGCTAAGTTCATGCTAAAGACTTACGGAGGAACGAAACTCCTTTACCATGACTCGACAAAGTCCTCCAGTTAAAGAAATCATTCTGGCTTTACAACTATAAAAAAAAACTCATATTGTTTCCTCACCTATATACACACACATGCATACAACATCTCATCGCAGATTAAACATACCTAAACTCATCATGTAATTACATCATATCATAATTCAAGTATTTTTTTTTTTTTCATTTAAGGATTTTAACATATAACTCCCACAAATTCTGCACCAAAATAATATAGACAACAACAACAATAAAGTAAAACAGCAGCAGCAGTAGCAACATGAAATGAAAACAGGAATATCATTGTTTTGAAGATTCCACTACCAGGGCAGTACTCAAAGATATATTTTTATTAAATAAAATAATGGTCATGAAATTATGGAATTAAATATACTTAACATATACATACAGATCACAACTACGATAAAAATTTCATCTCAAAACACTTCAATCTCGATTTTATATGATTTTTCGAAGTTGCTAGACGGACAAAGCAACTCTATTTCACCCAATTCAACCTAATCACTTCCAAGATTTTTCATGGAAAAACTACTTGTTAGAAAATTTTGAAATAAATTACACACAAACTAGACATATGAAGGAACATATAACCAAAATTTCAGAATTAAAAACCAAGTAGATATTTTTATATAATTTCCCAAAGATTCTATTTACATGCAGATTTTTCCAGCAACACCTCTGAACACATTTTTCATCATCTTCCTATAGAAAAATCCAATTTAAGTGATTTCTATGGCTAACTTGAGGTTTTGACATCCAAGTAATCCATTCCTAAATTCTAAAATGTGAAAGGATGTTTGTAGAGTATCCAAAATATACTAGAACAACTATACAAATTTTTTATCAAATATTCTTGTTTGGTTTCAATTCATGTAGGAATGAGATAAATGGTGGTTTAGCCTAGGATTGATAGCAAGAAGACTCTCCTTACAAATCCATGTTGACAACTCAAGAAATTAACCGGTTAAAAAAAATATAATAATACGAAACAAGTTTTGGTACCCCTTACCTGGATTTTCCCTTCAACAAGATCACTTGGCTTACTCTACTTTCTTTGGCTCCCAATCCACGTTGCCTCTCACCAACTCTGCAGTCCCTCTTTTTTCTCCTTCTAGAGTTTTTTTTTTTTTTCTACTCTCTCCCAAACCCTAATTTTTAAATAATTTTTAAATTAGCTCTTCTCATCCTTTGCTTTCCTTTACCATACTATTTAAATTAAAAATTATATATATATATTTTTTTTCTGTTCCAAGCTCTTCCTCTCCCAATTTCCAGCCCACTTACTCTCTTAATTAATTTGGTGCCTGTATACAGATTCAATGTATCTGTCTCAACTGTTCACCTCCTAAGGTACACCACACGAATTTGCGAAAAAAAAATGCATTATTTCCTCTTTTTTACTATAGTGAGGATTTGAACTTAACCCCGAAGACTCAAGCATTACTCCAAACCATACCAGCCATCATATGTTTCTTGTCAATCCACACACATAGCAAAATTACAATGTACCCACACATACAATGCATACAAGAAAACAACCATCAACCAATAATTTTCTAAACGTGGCAATTAAAATTTGCTAAGTCCCTAAGCATACTCAACGTTCTAGTTTGTGGGTACCAAAACTTGTTTCTTATTATTATATTTTTTTGAACCGATTGATTTCTTGAGTTGTCAACATGTAATTGTAAAGAGAGTCTTCTTGCCATTAGTCTTAGACTAAACCATCATTTATCTCATTCTTACATGAGTTGGAACCAAACAATAATATTTGATAAAAATTTCATATAGCTGTTCTAGTGTATTTTGGATACTCTACAATGCTCCTTTCACATTTTAGAGTTTAGAAATGGATTCCTTGTATGCCAAAACCGAGTTAGCCATAAAAATCATTTAAATTGGATTTTTCAAGAGGAAGATGATGAAAAATGTGTTAGGTGTTGCTGGGAAAATTTGCATGGAAACAAAATCTTTGGGAAATTTAAAAAAAAAAATCTATTTAGTTTTTAATTCTGAAATTTGGGTTATGTGTTCCTTCATATGTTTAGTTCGTGTGTGATTTATTTCAAAAATTTCTAACAAGTCGTGTTTCCATGAAAAATCTTGGAAGTGATTAGGTTTTGAGTTGGGCAAAACAGAGCTTCTTTGTCCATCCAATAACTTTGAAAAATCATATAAAATCGAGATTGAAGTGTTTTGAGATGAAATTTTTATCGTAGTTGTGACTGTATGTATATGTTAAATATATTTAATTTCATAATTTTATGACCATTATTTTATAAAAATATATCTCTGAGTACTGCCCTGGTAGTGGAATCTTCAAAACGGTGTTATTCCTGTTTTCATTTCATGTTGCTACTACTGCTGTTTTACTTTATTGTTGTTGCTGTCTATATTATTTTGGTGCAAAATTTGTGGGGGTTATATGAAAAAAAAACTTGAATAATGATATGATGTAATTACATGATGAGTTTAGGTATGTTTGATCTACGATGAGATGTTGTATGCATGTGTGTATATAGGTGAGGGAACAGTATGAGTTCTTTGATAGCCGTAAAGCGAGAATGATTTCTTTACTTGGAGGATTTTTTCGAGTCATGGTAAAAGGGTTTCGTTCCTTTGTAAGTCTTTAGCAAGAGTGCTCCATCCAAAGCTTTGTCGAGCTGGTGGAGTTGTTGCTAGTAAGTCTATGAAAAGTAGGGGAAGAGATTTTTTTCCAAAAGGCGTTGGTGCGTAGGAAAAGTATGGGGGTTGGCTATGAGAGAATTTTATACCGTCTGTTTTTACTTTGGGGTAATATGATAAAGTGTTAGTGTTGAAAACAAGTTCTTGTGGATATTATGAATGAGTTTTGTTACATATAATGTTAGGTAAATTATATGTTGACATGCATGATATGTGGTGAGATACATGTTTTGCTCACCCTTGTATGTTTGTGGTGTTGGTTTCCACTTGTGATGATAGTATGACTTGTGTTATACGGGAGTAGATGTTGATGCAGATACTGTTAGAGAAGCTTAGTAGTGAAGAGCTTGCGGGGAAGTTATTTTTTGGGAGTTTTTAAGACATTTGAAAATGTATTTTTGAATATAATGTAATAGTGTAGTGATTTTGAGTTTGCACTGGAAAGAAAGACATGATATTAAGTCTCATTTTGATGGTTTAAGTTAGTTGTTTGGGTGAACAATGTTTTATTTTGACAAATAAAGAGGTTTCAGATGAATCTTTTAACAAGTGTTATTTGAGATAAAATATTTGTAAAAAAAAAAAATTTACACGTGGCATTTTAAGGCCATGATATTTCCATAAAATATTGGTGTTCCTCTCCGTCAATGTAAAATAGAACCCCGTAAACCATACTCTATATTAAGTTCACTGAGAACACCGAACAAACAATATTATTCAGTTCTAGATGGCTGAAAAATTCCATAATTGATTAATAATTATTAAATAACATTGAATTTGATAATAATTTTCAATTTTACTTTCGTGTTCAATCATTTTGTGTGCCTCCCCTGGACAGCAGAATGATTAAATTTTGAATTACATGTTCAATCACTTTCGATATAGGCTATTCCATTTATTCTTTTTGTGTTGCTTTGTTTTTCCTTTTTGGGAGGATCTATTGTCTACATCAGTTAATGTCAGAATGATTAAATATTGACTTACATTTTCAATTACTTTCGTAATAGGATATTCCATTTATTCTTTTGTTTTGCTGTGTTTTTCCTTTTTTGGGAGGGTCTATTGTCTACAATCAGTTACTGTCAGTTAGCATTATTAATTTCTGCCTGTATTTTTGTTTCATTTGATTATATATATGCTAAACATTTGTCTTGGTTATCAGGAGATACATTTACTGATGGTTCAGTTAAGTACACAATGACTTCTATGAATGTTCCTGAGCCAGTGATGTCGTTAGCTGTACAGCCGGTCTCTAAAGATTCTGGAGGGCAAGTGAGTAGTTTATTTTTTGTAACATCAACCCTTGCCCCAGCTTTGAAGTTTATCACCTAATTGGCTTTCTCCTCAAATTGATTACAGTTTTCAAAAGCTTTGAACCGCTTCCAAAAGGAAGATCCTACTTTTCGTGTAGGCTTGGACCCAGAGAGTGGGCAGGTTATTTTTAATTCTTTATCATTCTCTTTTAAGTAACAATATCATTATTCGCATCTTCACATTAGTAAACTTCTGTGGTTAGACAATCATTTCTGGAATGGGGGAACTGCATTTAGATATCTATGTTGAACGCATCAGGAGAGAGTATAAGGTACCCATTTCATCCTCCACATTTTGTTTTCTTGTGATGCTGGCCAAATTGTGTGCTTCTTTTGCAGTTTCATTCATCTGTCTTTATCTGTTAAGGTTGATGCTTCAGTTGGAAAGCCCCGTGTTAACTTCAGAGAAACTGTTACTCAACGCGCGGATTTTGACTATTTGCATAAGAAGCAAACTGGAGGTCAAGGTCAATATGGACGAGTAATTGGGTAAGTGTTGATTAGTCATTCCTATTTTATTTTACAGATATTGGCCAAATGCAGTCGTTACCAAACAAATTTTCAACAGTGTTTGCTATAATTTGGAATCATGCAATTTGTCCAGAAACTATTGGATTGTTAAAACACCTTGCCAGTTCTGGCTGTCATTGCTTGTTTATCATATCAATTTTTATGACTTGACTTGAATCACAAGTATAAATTAAATATCTATTGTGTTGACAATATCACAGACCAACTTACATTGATTATGTGAATCTCTGGAGTCCCTATTCTCTAATGTTAGCGCACTATGACCTAAGTTAAATTTGGACTGCTGGTCAGTTACCTAATAATGGGTGGTTTGTCTTAAATTGTGGCTGACACTGGTTTTACAAGACTGCAATGCTTTAATCACTACACAATTTTGGCCAGTGCTTCATATATTTCTTAGCTTCTAACATCTTGTGCTTTTGAACTTTGAACTCTTATTGACAAACTGTATGAGTAGAGTTTTTTTTCTAGCGCATAGGACTTTGAAACCTTTTCTGATTCTTTGTTCTTTTTCATGTGCTCATCAAAATCACAAAATAGTTATTCAGGGATTATAAATTTTAAACAAGGATTTTTCTTTAAAAAACATCCAAACTCCCAAACAGATTAAGTTCCCTGTTAGCTTCTTTGTGGTGCTTGTCTAATGGCTATTTTGAGAGATTTCTTGGATAGATTTTCGGAGAATGGCATGCTGTGGTCACTTAGCGTTGATCTTCAATTTATCTTATGTCAAGATATTAGGAAAATGTCATATATACTCAGTTCATGTGCTTTTTTCTTGCTTCTCTCATGAAAAAAGCTTATGAGTTATTGTTGTGAATCTGGATCAAGCATATATACTCACTTAGGAAAGTGCTTTTTTAACACCACTTTTCAACTACAAATAAGTTGAAAAAAAAAAAATCAGCAGCATTTATATTTCAGCTTCCATTCCCATCTTGTCGTTAACTTTGCCTAGTCTAACCACTGCCCTGCCTTACACCCTCCCCTTTCCATTGCTTTCCATCTTTCCCATTCATAAACAAACCGGTTCACAATCCTTTCGCTCAACCACTCGGTTGGTAGACAAACCAGAAATTCGTATATGCACTAAGCAATATGGTTACCTACTGGCCTGAGCAGATTGTGTTTCTACAGTTTTCGCCTTATTATAATTAAATTCCTTCCTGGTTTAACATCCAATACTTCTGTTTGGTGCTGTAAGTAGGAGCTTTGATCCTTTTGTTCTGTATGTTAATTATCTCTAAATAAATTATTGACTTAAAAGGCCCAAAAAAATGGTTTAAGTGGAGGGCATTTAATTTGAAACTTGTAATCTTTGGGTGTTTTTTTTGTCAGATGTTCAGAGATGATACTCGTGATGTGAAGCATGTGTAAATAGACTACTTTTTCATTTCATAAGTTTATGAGCTTTCAAAATATTTACATCATGATGTATATAATTCAGTAAAATATTTGTGTCGATAGCAAATGGTGCTCAAGAATTGCTCTAGGTAAATGTGTTCAAACAATTGCGTCTATTGGGATTGTGTTGTAAACTATGTTCATGCTTGATATGAATTATTGAAGTATTTCCTACTTGCTTAACACTGTGTGTAGTGATGCTTTAGCATTCTTTTCTCATTAAAAAATAAAATAAAATTCTAACTAGTACATATTTTACCTTTTCCTCGTAAACTTTGAATTATCAACGATACATGTGATATAGTACTTAATAAATATATTTTCACAGTAAGTATTACTTAAATATAATTTAGAACACCTACATGGAATCAGAGTAATTTGTTTATGGTTATTTACACATGAACAGATTGATGATGTGTTCTATTTGGTAAATCATGTTTACTGTTCAATTTGGTAGAAACTAGTTGTGGTTCCACTTCTTCTGTGATCTCCCATCTATTTCTTGATGTATATTCTATTCAATGTGTTTGCAGGTATATTGAACCACTTCCTGCAGGGTCATCAACTAAGTTTGAATTTGAAAACATGCTTGTTGGTCAAGCTATTCCATCAAATTTTATCCCTGCAATTGAGAAGGGTTTCAAAGAAGCTGCCAACTCGTGAGTAAAATGTTAATCTTTGTTTAATCATGCATTCTAAAGTCTAAATTCATAGATAATTGTTGTGCTTGGTCATGTAGTGTATTGTCCTGTATCAATTAATGATCTACATTTTTTTTGGTTTATGGAATTTGGTCTTTCTTGTATGATTAAACTTATATGTGTTATGGCTAACTCAATTTCTCTCTTCCATGCAGTGGGGCGTTGATTGGACATCCAGTTGAAAATCTCCGAGTTGTCTTGACAGATGGTGCTGCCCATGCTGTTGATTCCAGTGAACTTGCATTTAAGTTGGCTTCTATCTATGCTTTTAGACAGGTCCATGTCATTTCAGTTATTCATATTTCATTGCATAGATAACATTGCACACATTCTTCCTTGTAATCTAGTGATTCCTCCACATGTGATGGTCTAAATCTTTGATAATTCATGGTGCTATCTTTTGTAACAGTGTTATGCTGCTTCCAGACCGGTTATATTAGAACCTGTTATGCTTGTCGAGCTGAAAGTACCAACAGAATTTCAGGGAGCTGTGGCTGGTGACATCAACAAGTGAGAGTTATTTAATTTTTTAAATGGATATTGTAGTAAATTCTCAGAATTCTGACACGCTTTTATAACTAATGTAAAGGAGAAAAGGTGTGATTGTTGGAAATGATCAGGAGGGAGATGATTCTGTCATTACTGCTCATGTAAGTACCTCTAAAGTCTCATAAAATGATTTTAACTTTATGGAGAAATAGCAATATCCTTATCCCACTAGATGAGGTTGGTTACATGTATCACAATTAGGCTTGGTAAAACACTATATTTTGAGGAATATTATTCACCATGAGATTTCTTTTAATAATTTCATCTACTATCCTTGATTACATTTTATCTGTTATGACATGGTAGAATCTACTATTCTTATTTGTCCCTTAGTGGCCTTCTTTGCTCAATTTTAATCAATTTTGTGTCATCTATTATTCGTTAAGTTTCACGCCATCATTTGTCATTCATTTTCTTTCTTGTGTGGTCATGCGTCTATCTTAATATTATGGTTTTTGCTACTGACACTCTTGCATACACTGGAAAGATTCTTTTTGAACTTAATTTATGTTCCGTGTGAGTTGTTCTTTTGAATGAGGAATTTTGTTCTCTCTAATCACATTTTTCAGAAAAATCATTAATACTATAAGTTCATAACACTGAGTTTTCTTTTTGATAGTTTATTATCATTAAAACTTCATTTTAGGCGGGGCTTAACTTAAACAATATTTTCTATGATATCAAACTCACCAATAGCTTAGTAAGTCAAATAATATTTGTTTTCCTACACATTTTTTAATTTCCATAGGAATATCACCTGGACCGATATTACCATTATCCATCCTCCTTAAGGCTTCTTTCACTTCTCTGTCTTGAATTCTGCTATTGTAAGCTGAGATTTATTCATCCTCTTGGATTTCCCTTTAATAGTACAAGTTGATTTTTGCTCATCATGTAAAAGCTTGTAAATGAAGGTTTCCCATTTCTCTTTGTTATCATGATATATAACCATTTTTCTCTTCTTCAACCATAATACTTGGTATCTTTTGACAACCAATTCTTTGTTCCAGGATCTTGGTAAAACTTCCCAAAAGCTTTGGATTGTGCTTCTCTCAATTTTTTTTTGTTTCATTCCTAGCCTTTACGAAACCTTAGTCAATTGTTATTGTTAAAAGCATTTAAACACTTGTATTTTACCTTTTCTTGCAAACTGATAAGCACCCAAGCCTTTGGGAAACTCACTTATGAAAGTTAGCTATTAAGGAGGGAGAATCAAGCACTTATACTCCACTGCTTGATGTGGGACTTAGACAAACCAAATTTGATACCAATTTCTTCAGAGTTAGATGTTTATTCCCAGTGTATCAAAATCTGAATCTTGCGGTGTCTTATACCTTGGCATTTCTCCAACACATTAGTTTCTTGAAGACAAGAAATACTCCCAATAATGGGGTCCACCATTTCAGAAGACTTATTAAAGTATCTGTATTCCAATTATCATTTGGAGCAGAGTGATCGATATTTTAATATTTGATGGAAAGAAGCATAAAACTACTTCTCAATAGAGGCGTGTTTCTTTTTATTATGATAGCAGTTCAGCTTGAGCTGATTCTTGTATTATTTGGAAGGTTTACATACATATGCATTGTTAGTGTATATGGGAATATGAATGTATAGATGTTTTTATGGCATCCAGAATTTTGTAAGACCCTGAAGCCCGCATCAGGAATAGCATGTTTTATGGCATCCAGAATTATGTAAGACCCTGAAGTGACTTTGGTTCTTTATGTGATTCTGGATGATCCTCTGAAATTTGAATATTCCAACTAGCGGGGGCAGTTTCTACCTTGAAGCCTCGATACTACTATTTAGTTTCTAGATCTTTAAACTACTGTTGAGAGCACGCTTTAATGTTTAGAGGCAATTAATGGGGTTAATAGGGGCCTCCTTATAATCTGCTTGTAAAATTGTCATTGCCCTGCAATGATTATTTACTGGTTTTATTTGATCTATACCATGTTTTTTTGAAATATATATGTAGCTGTAACTTTTTTATTTTTCATTGCTAAATAGGTTGCTGTTATTAAATATTTCAGGTTCCTCTTAACAATATGTTTGGGTACTCTACGTCTCTTCGCTCAATGACACAGGTGAATATCACGTCACTCGATATTTAATGTTAATGTATATTTGATTTCTAATTTCCTGTTGGGGATTTAATAACTGCAGGGCAAAGGTGAATTCACAATGGAATATAAGGAACATTCAGCAGTTTCTCATGATGTACAGACGCAATTGATAAACACGTACAAGGGTAACAAGGCAGCTGAATAATCAGCCTCTGTCGATGTGCATGGTCAAAATATTTATTACAATCATTTATCCAGAAAGCTGGACAATAGAATAGATATAGATTTGTTTGGTTTTATTATTAGGCTCAACCAATTTTGGAAAAGGAAATAAAAGTTTCATGTTAGATTAGGTGGTTTAATGTACTGGCTTCAATATGCAAGTTACACAAGCTTGTCTTTGTAGATGAAGATGCTTGTATTTGGAGATCTTCCATATGTAATTTTATGTTTATTACCATATTTACATCCCATTCCCTGAATTTTGTGCTTAAATTACCGATTTGGTTTTCGGAAGGAAGGTATGTTACTTGATTGGTTAGAGGGTATTGAAAGAAAGATATATTGATACTAAATGAAAGAGTACATTCATTTGTTATTCTAATTCTGTTATAAATCTATATATACTAAACAAAAATTTATTAACAATTAGTTGTAACTAAACTCAGAAAACATAAAAGAAATATTTCTAATAAAAGATTATAATAGATAATAAAGAGAAATATCTCTAATGTCCTCTTATGAACTCAAGGTTGGTGAGATAAATTATGATTAATCATTGTAAATCTAGACATGACAAAAATAAATCTAGTAGAGATTGGTTTAGTAAGAATATCAGTCCATTGAACATTTTTAGGGATATGCTTAACAAGTTTAGTGATCACTCTCCCTTGAACAAGGAAAATATCAAGTTCTGTGTTTTCTAGACAGAAAAACACACTTTAGTGATCACTTTAGGGATATGCCTTAACATTTTGGCATGTAGGATGGGATTTCTAGACAGAAAAACCTCAATGAACTATTGGAACGCACTGAGGTATTACAACTTGAAAAGTGTTTGAATGAGTAGGTTTGATGGTGGTTGAGCTAAGGCTTCAATATTCTTTGTATTGGGTTTAGTTGTTTGCTTAAGAGACCACATGAATAAGATCAAGACAAACTGTTGTAAAGATAGATCGATGATCATCTAGATCAACAACCTAGTTTATATTACAAAATTTTTTACTTATCATAGTCTGATTAACAATAGTTGGAATAATTTGTATATCCAAGTGAAGAGTTCCCTTTAAATATCAAAGCATTTGTTTTACAACAGTCCAACGAGATGCAAAAGGAACTGCCACTGATAGATTTTATTAATATATTTCTAGTTGGGTGATAGTGAGATGTTGAAGAACATCCGTTTTGAATGCAAAATGAACTGCCATAAACCTATAATATCTCATTGTCTAACTCCTCTTTCTTTTTTAATGCAAATAGTATTTTGTTTGAGGGAATGAAATCTAAATTTTCTCATTAGGAATAGGGCAATCAACATTAGTATTGGTTGATGGAGTTGTAACAACTATAGGCATGGTTTCCATTTTTCTTCTCTTCTTTTGTTGTGTGTCCTTTACCAATATAGGTCCTTCAATCTTCTTACTTATTCTAAATGTCATAGAAGTCTCATTTTTAGGATTTACAAAAGTTTAGGAATTCCTGTACTAATTTTCGTTGATAATGCTGGTTAGCTATCCAACTTGAGTTTCAAGATATTTGATACTAACCTCAGTCTATTACTGAAATTGGAGTGTGTTTATTATCATTTTCCTTATAGGTTCCTCCAAAGATGATTGATTTTCAGTGTTAGAAGGTGCATTGTGTGAAGCTTGACTAAACTATTGGTGGTTATTTTGGTTTTGTCATTTTACATATGTTAGTATGGATAATATGGTTTTTGTGGATAATTAATTATGTTGAGGAGAAAAATAATTACGCTATAGTAAATTATTAGATTGATTTCCCCATTTCAAGTTTGAATGATTTCTCTAATTTAGATTATATTTGTAAAAGCTTAAATCAACATGTTGTTGTGAAATTTCTAATATGACATAAACTTAGGAATATACGAGCTGATTTGACATGTTAGATAAATACAAACATTCATGTGTAGCATGTGAAGATAAAGTGCAATGGATACTTCTACTGGGAAATGATTTACGGTTGAGGAGTGTGTTTGAGTTTGTGATTGTGCCAACTTTTTTACCATTGAAGCAAGGTTGTGAATTTTATTATCCAGATGTTGACCCTCCATTTGTAACTTAGATATATTCCTAACAGTTGTGTTCTCTCAATCATAGTGTTCATATTAGAATTATTTTCAATGGATAAGGATGCAAATTCTAACTATATAGTTTTTTTTTTTTCAATTTATGAAAATTTGTTTGAATTTTTGGATCAAATTCTAAGGTTTTATCAATATGAGATCTTTGTATTCAATCATATAACTTGAAAGGAAAAAATTGAAAACAAAAAAAAAAAAAAACTATTGGATAGTTTTCGCTAAGTACAATGATTTTTGTTGAGTGAAATCAGGCCAGTAGCTAATCAAATAACAAAAACGCAAAAATTGCTAGAAGAAGTCCTCACTGAGCAAAAAATTAACAAAAAACTAACTAAAAGGAAAAAAAAAAAATCCAACACTATACTAAATTCATTAAGGAAAAATAGGATAGTGTTGAATCAAAACAGTCAAAATGCACATGAACACACTGATCCACTAAGTAGAAATAAAAAACATTGAGTGAATCAGTAAAACTAATGAACATGTTTACATTTTGTCGGTTTATAACATAAAGTACAAAAATCAAAATAACAAAAACAATAAAAAATTATGTAGAGTAACTCTTTTGCAACTAAAACTAAGACCTAAAATAATACCAATTGTTCCCTCACAACAATGCTCTTTTGATTGTATTCTCAAAGAGTATTGGTGAATGATAAAGGAACTAGTTTTCAATTGTAAAATAGTGAGAAGAGGATTTTATGAGTTTTTTTTTATCTAACCTCTAATTGAAATAGTAAAAACACAAGATTCTATATAAAATCATAAATAAATAAATAAATAAATAATAGAAAATTTAAGAATTTATGTTAAAGTAATGATTAATTTTCTAATCTTAGCTCATTGATTTCTAGACCTAAATATAACCATAAGATAAATTTATAAGAATTCTAATAGTTCATAATTCAATAAGTTAAATCTAATTGATTTATCACATTTAATAAATCTAGAGATATAAATAAACTCTAACAAATAGAATAACATGAATCTATAATTATTTTTTAATGTAATTAATTAAATTCAATCCAACATTATCAATTATATTTATTGTAATAAATTATGAATGGCTAAAATTAAAGAATAAAATCTCAACCAAATAATCAATAATTTATACCAGAAAATTAACATATAAAACTAGAAAATTATTAAAATGTAATAGAAATAGTAATGAAAGTAAATTGCAAAGAATTGAAAGTAAAACGGTAGAGAGAATAAAAAACTTGATCTAAAGCTTATGAAATTGAAGGTAGACTATAGAATTTGAATTGTGCTCAAAAGGAAAAGAATTTGAAAAGTCTAAAACTATGAATTGGAGAAAAAACTAGTTAGCTAAATATCAAAACTGGAAAAAGTAAAAAAGATAACTTACGTCTTTTAAAATTTCAGAATTTATTTATACAATAACAAGTACACTTGCAAGACCCATACAAGACCTTTAAACAACAAATTGCAAAAATTAGAATTTGATTTATTAATTATGTAGAAACTATTATGCAACCTTTCTTTGAGCGCATCCTTATTTTGAGGAATCTTCATCTCCCATGACACTTTAACCTCCGAGTTTTTCAGGGACAATTTTACTTACGTCTCAATTTAGTAAGAACAATAGTAAATTATATAATTTGAAACTTAAAACCATTTTGAATTTTTTTAGAAATAGAGCATATCATGTACGTGATATTTATTCTCACAAGTGCACATAGATTTTTTATGTCAAATCATTTCTCATCAAACTACAAAATAATCGACTTAAAAAATACGGTGATATTTTTTAAAATAATTGCAAATTTTATATGTTAGACCATATGTGGTCCAAAATTAAAACTAACATTTATGTTAGGCCCAGAAAGTGGTCGATATAAATGCTGTTTTTTACATCAAAAGCACGTTATATCACTCTTAGGGTCTTTTTCTACCTCGCATACATGTGGGTTTAAATGTGAACGACGATAACGACGATTCTAGGGACATCTTCAAGAACATTTTTCGACCACATTGAGTGACAATGATATTCAAATTGTGATTTATTTGTGATATTGAGCATTTCTCTTTAAATGATTTTGAAGGTTTTAACGTTTTTTGTGCAATTTTACTTTATTACTAAAATTGAATGTGTTTTTTTTGGATCTCACAATAATATATAAACGTGTCTATTATATTGTTGTTATTGAAGTTAAAATTATAATTAATTATGTTATTTTTGAATTCAATAACTATTTTTTCATTTTTAATTTTAAAATATATTTTTATATTAATATTAAGATGTATTTTAGTCTCTAGGAACTACTAAATTATTTAGTCATTTGAAAATTTTAGTTGACGATGATTTGTAACCTAAGATGGTTATGAACAATAGATGATGATTATTAAATTTGTATAGATGATAAAGATTTAATTTGTAACTTAGGTAGTTATGGAATGAGGTTGGATAAATGATTAGTGAAGAGTATGAAAAGGGAATTGAGGAGTTTTTACAATTTGTTCGTGAAAATGGAAAATCTATAAAAGAGAAATATTATTGTCTATACGTTTGTTGTTTGAATTAAATACATTATGAAATTGGAGATATATATGATCACCTATTTGTGTTTGGTATTATTATGAGTTATACAATATAGATATAATATGAAGAAATATTAGACATACCAACTATTTCAATAATAGAAAATTTTGAAGAGACAAACGATAATTTATAGGAGATGATATGTCATATTAGTGAATTTTTTTTGGAAGAGCACGTATATAAATTATTTAAAGTCTGATTTTGAGCAATAATTGTATACTAGATGTAGTAGTTTTACAAGATTATCAACAAATTTAAGATTATTAAATTTGAAAGGAAGAACTGAAAGACTAATAGAAATTTCACTGAATTATTAGAGTTGTTGAAAGAGATTTTTCCAAAAAAATAACACATTACCTAATCATAATTATAAGGGGAAGAAGATATTACGTCCGATGAATTTAGAATACAAGAAGATTCACGCCCTAATGACTACGTATTGCATATTAACAAGAGTCAAATTAATGTTTCAGATATTTTAAAATTCATCTCTATCATCATAATATGATATGACACATATTAAATTTATATAAATGATAATAATTTGAAATTATAACTTAGGTAGTTATAGAACGAAGTTGGATAAATGGTTAGTGAAGAGTATGAAAAGGGAATTGAAGAGTTTTTACAATTTGCTCATGAAAATGGAAAATCTATAAAAGAGAAATATTATTGTCCATACGTTCATTGTTTGAAGCAAATACATTATGAAATTGGAGATATATATGATCACCTATTTGTGTTCGGTATTATTACGAGTTATACAATATGGACATGACATGAAGAAATATTAGACATACCAACTATTTCAATAATAGAAAATTTTGAAGGGACGAATGATAATTTAGAGAAGATGATACGTGATATTAGTGAAATTTTTTTTGGAAGAACACATATATAAATTATTTAAAGTCTGATTTTGAGCAATAATTGTATACTAGATGTAGTAGTTTTACAATATTATCAACAACTTTTAGATTATTAAATTTGAAAGGAAGAACTGAAAGACTAATAGAAGTTTCACTGAATTATTAGAGTTGTTGAATGAGATTCTTCCAAAAAATAACACGTTACCTAATCATAATTATAAGGGGAAGAAGATATTATGTCCCATAAATTTAGAATACAAAAAGATTCACACATGCCCTAATGACTACGTATTGTATGTTAACAAAAGTTAAATTAATGTTTCAGATATTTTAAAATTCTTAATATGATATGACACATCTAAAAGAACAATGAGCAAATTTTTTTGTTCAAAATTTGTAATACTTAATTTGTAGTGTGTAATTTAATATTTAATTAGTTTATTTTGTAACTAGTTTAACTTTTAAGTAGTTTAACTTTTAAGTAGTTTATTTTTAAAATAATTTAACTTTTAAGTAATCTATATTTCATAAGTGAAATTGGGATAAAAATGTTATATTTTATATTTTTAGATTTTATTGTATTAAAAATATGTATGGAAGCTTTAGTTGAAAGCAAAAACAAAACCAATAAAAAAAAAAAAACACAAAATTTACGTGGAGTGATCAATAGCTGACATAAATTTATACTGAATATTAACTCGCCCGACGTAATTTCGTGTCTTTTTTAATACCCGAACTTGTTCTACTTTTAATAGTATAGAGGTTTAATGCAAATTGATGTTGATATTTAATAGTAGATTCATGTTGATTATTTTATTCATATATATTAAATTAATGTGGGTTATTTTATTCAATATAAATTTATTTCTTGTTTATTACATTGGATAGTAAAAAGTATAAAATAATAGACCTAAAAAATCTCATTTTATATAATTATTTGAATAAACATTTAAAACACTAAAAAAGAGTTTTTTTTTTTTTGGAGATTTCTTTTTTAATTGCTATAAATGAAGTTAATTACTTTGCTAAGAGTAACAACCAAATGGTTCCAAATTTATGTATCCTAAAAGATGGACAAACATTCATTTATACTAAAATAATGAAACACAACCAGTTCGTCGGCTTCAAGTTCTAACGTTTGAAACCAAATAAAGATTTGCGTTTTCGGAAGGAAGAAAGCGAATCTTAAAACCAAGAAGCACAAGTTCTAACGGCTTCAATATTTTAATGAAAGAGATATATAGAACTCCAATTTTCATAAGTCATTTTGATTAAGAAATAAATTATATTAATCAAAACTTGATATAACATGATTATTAAAAAAAAAAATTCCACGTAACCTAATATGAATTAAATGATGACGATCTTGTGGTGGGGCAGTAATCAAAGTAGACCAAACCCGAAACAGTTGGTGGGTCCAAAAATTTAATGTGACCCCTTCAGAGATGAACCCTTTCTTAGTCCATCTAACTTGTCCTCTCTCTCCTGAACCAGCTCTTTACACCTGTGAAGTTAAATATGGTGGGGTATTCCTTTTCTTTGATCATATCAATTAATAAATATACTTTTATTCAAACATTACTCCTTGCTTGCTCTCTCTATCATTCAGGCTCTGAAGCAGAGTGGTTAGACCTATAGAGATAGCTGTTCAAGCACCACCCAAGGCATCTACAACATCTCTATTTTTGTCGCAGAATCAGACAAACTGTTTCATTGTATCAGAGAATAATGTCAAATTTCCTGAAAATATGTACCCAAACTTTATATTAATATTAAAATTATTTTAAATATAGTCAAATATCACGTTTATCTCAATAATCATAATCATTATAGAAAATATTTTATTAATATTTTAGTACGCTTACTTATTTTCATGATACTAAAATCTTATAATCATTAAGTCTGGTATAACTCAGATAAATCGAATTAGCACTTTTAATATAATTTTTTTCTTTAAATAACTTTCTTTATTTATCAAATTTAAATTTGGGACTTTGTATAAACTTACCAGCTTCGGTACCACTTATATATCATTAACTTAATGATAATAGATAAACTTTTGAATAACTTCAACATAAATATATGCGCTTGACTTGATTTACAGTGAATTGGTTCAAAACACAATAACTAATCTGAGTAGTTTTTTTACCATATCAAACACATATCTGGAAGCCACTCATCAAGAGAGAGAAAAAAATGGTGCGATTATCATTAACAGAGGCATACTCATAAATGGACCAAAGTCTACAGCTTTTAATCAAATGGTTAAAGTGTCGAAGTTTTTAAACACACCTCCCATTTACCAGGAATTTATATATATATATATATATATATATATGCCAGCTAGTGAGAGGATAGACTTGAAATATACGCCATTTTAGAGTGTGAACCGAGGGAAAAAGTGCAGAGACACAGACCCTGCAAGTTGTAGGTGTGTGGTTTGTACATAGCCACACACTGCATATTAGGGTCTAGCTTATTTCAAAATCACTTCTTCCAAACACTTTCACACTCCCACAGTCCATTTCTTAGAAAGTTCTTCAAAACCCACAATTCTTTTCACCCATAAAAATAAATATCAAAAAAACTGTTTATGCTTCAGCTTCTGCTTCTATTTCCACTTGTTTGCTCACACTTGGGCATATATAGAGATGTTGGATTACGAATGGGGGAACACATCAATGATTGTACTCGCCGGAAATGAAGGCGCCGCCGGCGAACCCGACCAAACGCGCCGGCAAATCTTCGACCACCATTTCGCCATGCTAACTGACCCCATTCTACACGGCTCAACACCAACAGCCACTACTGGTTTCTCTCATCACCACCCCTTCAACCCACCACAACCGCAACAGCACCAACCCTTCTTGGACCCACGCGCCTTCCAAAGCGCGTCCCCCACTTCCTTCTCCCCACCACCTTCGATGATCTCACTTAACCCAATCCCACCTTTAGCTTCCTCCCACTGTGGGCTTGGGCCTGCCTCCGGGCTTGGATTTCTGCCCATGTCCAAGTCCGGGGATGTCACTTCGCCCATGAACTTCGAGGGCTCTGGTCGTGGTCTCGCACCCGAGCCTGGACCCAGACTTGGACTCAACCTCGGAGGCCGCACTTATTTTGCGGCTTCCAACGACGACGCCGTGGACCAATTCTACCGTTCCAAGATGGTTTCCACCGTGTCGTCGAATTTGCCGCGCTGTCAGGCAGAAGGGTGCAATGCGGACCTCTCCGACGCGAAGCACTACCACCGCCGCCATAAGGTGTGCGAGTTCCACTCCAAGGCCGCCACCGTGGTTGCCGCCGGCTTGACTCAGCGATTCTGCCAGCAGTGCAGCAGGTTGTAGTTGTTTTGGGGGGAATTTTACACAATGACGAATTTGCCACTGGGTGTTGTAGTTTGGAGCCAATCATTGTCTTAGGGGTGATCCCGAGGGTATTTCCGTCCGGTTTAGGAAATCTCCCTCTCCTCTTCCATTTTCTTTTTGTTCTTTTTGCTTTGCTTGTTATAGTACTGCACTTTCATGACAATTACTTATCTTTTATAAATATAATTATATTTTAAAACATCCATGAAAGAAAAAAAAATAAAAAATACACATGGTCATCTCTTTCTACCCAATCACTTTTTTATATCTTGTTTAGATATTTTTAAAATAAAGCCTACCATTTTTAGGCTTTCTCTCACATTATTTTGATATCGTTTTTTATTGAACGTTGAAAGGAAGTATCTTTTGTCACTTCGGAATTAATTATTTTCAGTATAAAACATTCATTCTATATTATGACATTTATTTGAGAATTAACCTCTGTCATAATTCATCTTAAAGGAAAGTTAGGAAAGTAAACGAACGCATCATGTCCTGTTTCATAGAATGCTGAGGGAACAATAAGATCAGTATTATAAGAGAATATCCTTTTGAACATTTTTTATTTGTCCGTCGATTACATATCTGTAAATTTACTAACATCTCCTCCGATCCACACTATCTGACGTTTTTTAAGTGGCAGAATTGAATTGCAACTTCAATAAATGACATTCTCGATATAATTGTTGTTTTTAAGTTGAGAAAGAACTTTTTAGATTAACATGTGTTGTTAATTGCTTTGATTTTTTTGTTTTTGCAGATTCCATCTTCTTTCAGAATTTGACAATGGGAAACGGAGCTGCAGGAAGCGACTGGCAGATCACAATCGTCGCAGAAGAAAAACACAGCAGGCAACCCAAGAAATTCACAAATCTCACCAGCATTCTCTGGACAATGTTACGAGTACGGTTTCTTCTTTCTTCATTCTCTTTTCTAAGTACACAGTATCTTAAATTCTCCTTTATATTTTCAAACACACACTTTTAATTGGAGAAAGGAAATATACATAATAAAAACTACAGGATTCACGTTGCTTTGTACATGTGCTTTTTCTAGAATAATCAAAATTCATTTTTGTTTTTGTTTTTTTTTTTTCTATATGCAATAATTACGCATTTTTATACATGAAATGTATGAATCTGGCAGGGTCCTTGGCTGAATCTGGAGCTCAAACTTCCTCATCGGTGACGGTGCAAGTGTCACCCCGAGATTATTTCCAGCAAAGACCAGAGCAAGATAGAGGTTCTTCGTCAACATCATTAGGGTCATTGTTTTTCTCAAATGGGACCAATTTGCATGGCTAACAGTACCCCATTTCATTAATTATTAAGGAGGAGAATCAACAATAATGTAGTGGACTTACTCTCGTGACTTTCTCCCCAGATTTAATTTTGAAGCTTTAATCTCGAGTCTCTCTGATTTGTGAAAATGATTTTAAGCATCTATATATCATATCCACTTACCCTTTTATGTAACAAATATATTATTAAGTGTACTTCATGTGTATGATCTTTGAGGTTTCACTGGTGTGAATTTGGTAGGGTAAATGGCAGAAGGGAAAAAGTAAAAACAAAAATTTCCATAATATTTGGATTTTCCAGGAAATAGTGCCGTTTGGGTAATCAGAGGAAATCAGGCTACTGCTCTAGAGTACCTTCATTTTGTGGCATTGACTTTGTCTGCTACTGGAATTAATTTCTCTGAAATATGCACCACTTATATACTCCCTCACTTCTTTAATTGTCAGTTTTCTAAATCACGAAAATTACTGTAAATCATGTAATAATAATAAGGATTCACATCACTTTCTACTTTTTATACTCTCTGTAATAATTTTATTTGTAAGACTCCAATTTATAATGCAATTATATCAAGTCTCTTACTAATTCTTGTGCAAATGTAGTGTCAATATAAAAATATCCTCTTGATTTATAAATTCAGACAAAAACCCTTCAACAATTATTTTCCACAACAAATATAAATAAATTATCGTAAAAATCGTGTAAACATTTTTAAAATTAAGGCGAGATAATGTTTTAAAATAATGCGCATTAAATAATACGAGGCGAAAAAGTATAAATATAGACAACGTCATGCAATGTAACGTAAACAGTGAGTATGAATCTCAGTTTAGGCGTGAAAAATCCGCATCAATTAAATTTATGATTTAGTTTATTCATTAATGCTTAGAAGTATTTAATAAAATAGGAATTTTAAGTTTTGTAACATATAAAAGAATAATTTAAATTTTATTCAGTTATGAAGGTCTTGATCAAACTTGGTAGGAGAAGTTAGGATTGTTAAAACAGATAGTTATGTTTGGTCCTACTACATAAAGTAAAAGAAAAAAATTGATGATTCAATTTAATTTATATGTTTAAAATTAGTTAATGAATTAATTTTGGTCTTAATTTTTTTTTTTAAATTATAACGTATTTGTATATTAGGAAATCTTTATTAAAAAAAATTATGAGTTTCTTGATGCATATAAAATTATGTTTTGTAGAACCCACCTTATTATGTCATAATTAAGAAATTTAATCAAATTTTGTTTCAAATGTAGGGAACTCTAAATCTTTTCTAACATGTCTTCCCTTTCCTCCAACTCTTTTCCCTTCCACTAGAATTTTTTTTTATAAAAGTAATATTTTATTTAAGTAACATATGTTTGTTGAAATAACTTCATAATTTTTAAACAACTTGTATTATCACATTATATCTCTATGCAATGGTAAAATTACTTAAAGCAACTTCAAGCAATTCTCCAACAAAGGGTAAACATCTTCAATTAATAAAAGTAATTTTTATTTTGAATATCATAATTTAATATATATAATTTATAAGAGGGGTATCCGTTAACTTAAAGAGTAAGAATTACAAAATTATTATTCATTTTCACCTACCATTCATTTTTTTTGGTTAATTAGCCCTTGTCTAATAAGTACAAGTCTAGACTCAGAGTCTTAAAGGCAAAAAGTGCATAGACATTATACAGAAAATTCATGTTACTCTCACTCATTTCCTATCCAAACTATGGAAATACTTTAGATGGTAGACCTAAGAATAGTTACATGTATTATTTCTTTCCTTGTTTGATATATTAATAGAGACACACGTACACACATACTAGGGTCAAAGATGCATTGAAGCGTTTTGTTGAAGAATTAACATACCTGCACAAAAGAAAAGAACAGGACATAAGTTGTTTTTAGTTGCTCTATCTCTTCTAATGTGTTTTTCTTTATTTCAATAGTTAGCCATGTGACGTATGCCTTATTTTAATATTATATTAATATTACTGTGTAAGAAAATTTCGTAACAAAGTTTTTCTCATGCACAGTAAAAATTTTCTTATATATGAATACTGAAGCGGGGGAGGAGGGGAATCAAAATTTTCCTCTCATCCTTCTTCTTCTATTGTCTAAATTTCAAGCAACGAGACTCTACTCGTGCAGGATCTGGTGAAACGGGAGAGAACTTGAATTAAGTGGGAAAACTTCGGTAGAAATACCATATCAAGTAAGGGGAAGTTTAATTCATTCAATATATGAAATTGAATTGCTGGGTACTCTGTGAATAAGGAATAGGAGTAGAGATATGAATTATTGGAATGTCTGATTTTGAAGAATGTCTGATTTTGAAGAATTTCTGATTTTGATGAACTGTTCACCGTTTGAAAGTTTTTTTGAAATTCTTGAAATTAAGGATGAATTATATACTAAAATTGTTGTTTTTAACTTAAATTGAACATGTTTATGGTTAAATTTTTATTTGGAACTAATTTGGGTGATTGAAACTGAGAAATTTGAAATCTGAATTTTGAAAATGGCGGACTGGAAAATCTGCAAAATTCGCTCAAGCGAAAAACACGTCGCTTGAGCGAGAATACCTGGAAAATTTGGGATTCTCGGGTCCTTTATCGCTCAAGCGACCGGGGTACTCGCTTGAGCGACGAAGCCTTCAAACACAAGGGACTCTCGGTCATGTCTCGCTCAAGCGACCGGTGTACTCGCTTGAGCGACGAAGCCTCAAACAAAGGGGACTCTCGAGTCATGTCTCGCTCAAGCGACCTTTGTACTCGCTTGAGCGACGAAGCCTTCAAACAAAGGGGACTCTCGGGTTCCATATCGCTCAAGCGGCCGGTGTACTCGCTTGAGCGAGCGAAGGAAGAAGAAAGAGATATGGTGAGGATTTTTTAAAGATCAAGGGCAAAATAGTAATTTATTGATTTTGGAAAGGATTTTAGAAAATATATATATATATATATATATATATATATATATATATATATATATATATATATAAAGAGAGAGATAATGAAAGTAAAGTGTTGTGACGTGTGTGGGTCGGGCTGAGCACGAGGGTGATGCCCGGAATCGGTCCTGAGACGTTATATATTGGCTAGGCGAGCGGAGGGTTGGTGCGAGAATCGGTCAAATACTATTTTTATTGACTCGAATGAGCCGTGAGGACATGTGGTCCAGAATCCGGCAAATGTGAATAATTTTTGTTATGTTTGAATGGTACCGGGGTGGTACGAGTACATTAGTGTAATAACTATGTCGGAGGATTCGAATGAGGTCCCGAGACTTCAGCGATTGGTCGGGTCGGGTAGACTACGAGATCGGGTGGTGAGAAGTCGATGGGGGATGGCTGGTGGCGCGCTCGGAGGGGTACTCCGGTATGAGTGATGAAGGGCGCCGGTAATCCTACTCTGTGTGGAGGGTGGTTAGAATGGATGCTGCGGGTACCGATCACAATGTGCCCACGAGATGATAGCCTCTAAGTTCGGGCATAGTTAGGGTATACTTCAGGAAGGTGTCTTAGTGTGTTGATAATTTCGTAATTGATCATAATATATAATTCTATATCTGTTTTATTATATCGAATGATTTAATACTTACCCCTATTTTTCCATGTGGATGGGACTACGATGATCACTTTTATGTGGGAGCGGATCGGGAGTTGAGAGATGGTGATGGGACTACTTGGACAACGGGGATAGTTCGGTGAGATAGCTTCGAGGGAGCTACTTTTACATGTATAATATATAAATAAATTATGTTACTATATTTTGAAGTTACGTTAGTGAGCTGGAATTTCAATATATGTTACAATTACGATAATATAATGTAAAATAAATGTTGTTATTTACTTGTTTACTACTTTGTGAAGACATCATTATAGTAGCGATTTCTAGGGTCGTTACAATAGTGGTATCAGAGCGGTAGTATCCTTGTAAATCTGTGGGGATGGGTAGTGAACCTATGATAAGTCTGTTGTGATTATACTCTGATTGTGAGTGCGTGAATGTTTGCTCTGTATTGATGGTTGCGCTTGATATAGGATGGCACCGCGACCTCCTACTCCTACTCCTACTCCTACTCCTACTCCACCGAGTGTAGATGCCCTAGCCAGGGCAATGGAAATGTTGGCAGCTGCCATGTAGCAGCAGGCTACCTACCCGCAGTGGAGGCCAACTATGGCATCATCCTCTGTTGGATATCACCAATCAGAGCAGATGGGGCTGATTGAGTTCATGAGGCATAATCCGCCTCGTTTTGGAGGAGATTTGAGTCCAGATGCAGCAGAGAAATGGCTCCGTAAAGTGGAGAAGATTTTTGAGGCTACCTTATGCTCGGAAGACAGGAAATTGACATTCGGGAAATACTTACTAGTTGATGAGGCTGAGTTCTGGTGGTCAGGGACTCAAAGGATGATGATTGCACGTGGGGAGGTGTGTAATTGGGAAACTTTCCGTGAGAGATTTACGGAGAAATACTTCCACGACGGTGTTAGATTTCGGAAGGAGGCGAGTTCTCGAGTCCGAGACGGGGTAACATGATGGTGCATGATTACGCCATACGATTTGAGCACTTATCTCGTTTCTACACGGGTACAACTTCGGAACGGTGGCTTTGCGGGAAGTTTGAGGAAGGCTTGAGGGCTGAGATCAAGCTCATGGTGGTTCCTTTCTCTATCGGGAGATTCCCGGAGCTGGTGGAGAAGGCGAAGACAATAGAGAGACTCCGGGAGGGAGGAGTCGAGTGATGAGGACCCACTCAAGTGGGGTCCCGAGTAGGGGTAGTAGATCGAGAGAGGAGGATGCCTTATTCACGCCCCGGTCTTCCGGGAGTGGCGGTGTTACCCTGACACCTCGATCATCGGGATCCGTATCCGGGGTAAAATGTTTTCAATGTGGAGGCCCTCATTACGGGAATCGGTGCCCACGAGAATGCCTTCACTAATCCTTCCCGAGACTTCTCGGGCGGGTCTTTGCTACACTTGCCGGAATCCGGGACAT